GCTGCTGCTGGGTGTGAACTGCCTTGCTATAATTAAATATCTTATAACTACCAGCTGAGCGAAACAAAAAGGTAATCAGACCAAAAAGCAGACCTGCACCACCACGACAAGATGCCAAGTATGGGTAACTGATGCAAAGCCAGCTAGCAGCGATGACTTAAGCGGCGGACGACAGACGTCGATGTAGTTGCAAGTCAGCATAAAGCAAAATGCTTTGCTAGCGGCTACAGGTGACCTTCACCTTTTGCTCATCGCGCACGAAGATGAAAAACGATGCCAGAAGATCGTTTACATGAAATCAAATACCAAACCGATGCTCAGCCACGACTAACATATCTCTCTGGCTGGCTCGTTTTGGCAGTCATACAACAGGGGCGACGAGCGGGGAATCCCGAAACGTCAATTTCCAATTCCCGGCCAGATGGGGAAATGCTTTGGACTCCACGGGTAATGTCAACCGGTGACGGCATGGCGTGGACCGGCACCGCACCTCGTCCACCCTGTCGTTGAACTTGAACCGCCGATGGCACACGTTTGGCAGGTAAAAGCAACCAGTAAGACCAGCAACAACAAGGCCCAGTCAGGAAAACGCCGGGAAGCGAATATTGAAAAGCGAAAATACAGCAAGAGCTGTGCCCAAAGTGGCATCTTACGTCTGGTGGCCTGTAACTGCTGACTGGGTGCTGGCGCTATTACCAAATAGCAAGACTTTGTTGGCCATGACATTGAAGGTACGCTTTTGTTTTGGTTTTTAGCCCAAATAAAGTACTATTGAGGGCGAAAATCCGAAAAGGCTTTTAAGAGATGCAATTAACCAAATGGAGTTTGCTTGTAGCAGAAGGAGAAGCATTCCTAGCCGCAGACAGGACAACATAATTTATTTGTTCTGCCTGAATAAACGCATTCCGCACTCACTGGTGGGCAGTGAGCTGCGGCGGACAGAAGACATTAACCCAATAAATTGCGGAGGCTGCGTGCGTTCGCGCTCGATACGACAAAGCTTCATTAACAGCTTTTAATCAAGATGTCTAATTGGCAACACAAACACAGTGAAGGCAGCGATTATTAAGCAGAAGGCAAAGTCAAACCACAACTAATCAAAACGAAAAACGAAAAAAAACCGAACACAAACATGTAGGAGAAAACACAAAATAATAATTATAAAAGCGGCTGAGATGTGCTAGCAGCTCAGAAAAATGATTGGTGGCCACACGATCTATCAGCCGTAGTATTTGCAGTAATGTTAACAAAGCAAATTGATTGCTAGATATACTGCGACTACGACTAACTGCGATCATGGGAAAAGCCAAAGTCAGGGCCGCCGTCGATGTTTGTATACTTGTGACAGAAGTGGGCTACATTTTGGAGCTGTGATCTTGAGCTTCTTGAGGCTCAGTCTGCGGCTTAAGCATTTTTGCTCTTCTGCCCGTGAGTGACACGTCAAGTGTTCCGCAGCAGATCACGCACGCTAAGCGCACCGTTTTGGGTTTACTTCCCCGATTGGGGAATTTTCAATATTCGCCGAATCTTTTAATAACGCGCTGACTAATCAGCGAATAAAACATCTACAAAGCCTGCCCAGGCCGTGTAGCTCCGGCATAAGCGGATATCATTTATTGGCCGCTAGTTGCCTTTGGATTACTATCCGGTTTCGGGCTAACTGTCTGAGGCATAAGCTTCTGATAAATTATGCGTGTATATTTAAAATGCCAATGTTTCTGCCAATACCGCTTTGTAAGACATACAAGCGCTGCCCGTTGATATTTCGATGGGATCCAAAGACATTGCTGACAAACGAATTCAAGGCTAGCTCAGAGTCATCATCATCGGCCACACAATACCCATGTTAGTACGCATTAAACGCCTCAGACTAACAACTCCGACTTCGTTCAGCCACCAGAGGAATTTGTACTTTCTGCTGGCTGATTTGAATTATAGCCTACATCAGCCCAGGGATGTGTCAGTGTCAGGGTATATCGAGTAGTGCTTATCGGTGTCACATCTGTGAATTATGCGGCGCGAAGCCAGGACAGGATTGCGACTGCGACTGCGTAGAGTGCAGAATTATTGTTGGCATGCAATCAAGCCGAAGCCATCTCATAAAGTACAAGAAGGCGGGCTGCCTGGCTGGCTGAAGGCAAGGAGTTGGGGGGCACATTGTTAGCGAGTCCTACGCGATGTCGTCTTGCAACTTATTCGACGCCTTCGGGCAGGGTCACACCAAATTTATTACCCCCCTTGGGTGTGGGTAACAATTGAAATATGCATGATTGCTTTATCTTTTACTGCTCTATACATGTTGCTTCATCAAGATACCACTGAAGATCACGGTGGATATTAGGAGTTAGCAAAATCAACCAGCATTTGCTACAGTTGTTCACGTTCGATTAATGGCTTATTTAGATCTCAGGTGTAGCCAGTGAGTGATAAATTCATCAAATTACCGCTTCCACCTGGCTAGGCACGACATTGACCTGTTCGTATGTTTGTATAATAATGATCTGAAACACAGCCGTTTCCCACGCTAAATGGTGGCTGCTGGAGTGGACGACCACACCCTGCGCCAGAGCAACTGCGAGTGCAGCTGCTCGTGACGATCATGCAAATTACCCAATTGCGGCTTAAATGTCAACTTTTGTGTAACTAAATTGGAGCTAACCGCAACAGAAGCAAACAGCTCATTTCAAATTGAATTGGAGAAATAGGACTCGTGTTGGAGTTGACCCGCTGCCACTGCAGAGTCACAAGGCCAAGAATATGAGCCAGCTAAATAAATAATGGTAAGTAGTCGATGACTGTCAAACCAGTTAATGAAAACAAACATCGAAAAACCGTTAATTGAGACTAAAGAGCCACAAAGAAGCATTGTGATAAATACAAAAAACAAGTCCGTAAATAAGTAAAATCAATAACTCTGAAACCGGCATCTTATTTATAAGTTATAACATCTCAATGCTGCTTGCAGTTGGCTAGCTTTCCGTTTCAATACTCAGCTATACATATGCAGATCGTGTTACTCACAGCTCCAGCTCAGCTGGAGGCGGTTCGATGACTTTATGGCAGCATATCTCCTTTTGGTCCAAGCGGGCAGCACTTGGCAAAGCTTTTGCAGTCAATAGCCGCCACAAAACGAAGAAAAACCAAGGCGATGATTTAATTTTACAAGACTTTACAATCAAAAAAACAAACCCCACTCGGTAAAATGTCATCAAACTATCCATTACATGGGGAACCTGTTGTTGGATAGTTGGCTTTCCGCCCCGGCCTGCTGCAGGTGACATTGAAAAAATCGAAAACCGAATTCAGGATCCCGATGAAAGCAGCCAGGTGCAATGAGCCAACGCCAACGAAATGCACTTAAAAGGCAGCATCAACAGAGATATCATCTAAGCGGCAAAGCATCAGCTCGGAAAAAGAGTTGCTTGTGGGCTTACGCAGATGCACTTGCAATCCAGATGAAGTCGCTGTGGCCAAGAGATCGTCTAGTGATTAATAGAGCTGCAATCCGCTTGGCTGGCTCTGCATGTGGAGAGCTCGGAGCGCCCAGAGTGCCATACGTATGCGTAATCGCTGTCCTGCAACTCATTACATTTGACACCGGGCACTTAATGAAGCTCCTAACGACGCAGATGAGTGCGTTATGCAATCCACTAATCGATAAGCTCACATACTTTCACGCCGGCCGCTCCGCTGGCCAACATATTGTCACTGTGTCCGTCATCGCTCACTTAAGCGGGCACAACACTAATACGCACTGTGGTGCGCGGCCTTTGAAGGTGAAAGTGAAAGGTGGTCGCTCCATGTGTGTGTGTGTGTATTTGATAAATGAAAAGCGAGGAACGATGAGGAAGAGCAGACAGACTGCATCAGCGCCTTGTCCTTGAAGGCCTTGGGGCCTTTATTCCGAAATGAACTCGAAAAGCAACGGTCTGCGGAAAACAACAACAACCGCAATCGCGTCAAGGTCGTTGCATCGAGCATCTGCAAAATCCAGTTTATTTGCAAAAAAAACAAAAATAAAGTGGGAACGCATCAACCGCTGAGCCGCAAACCTTGTGTTTTACTTTCATTCTTGGCTTACCATGTTTACTAATTTATGGAACCAAGACCCAGGGATTGCTTTTCCCAAATTACTGTGAATCCGAGCTTAACTGCCCTGTTATTTAACTTGGCAAAAGTCCAGGAATAACTATGGATTTACCTTTCTAAATTGCCCAGAAAGACGTAACCTTGGTCTCGAACAGCACGCAGGCTTACGAGAACAGGATGAGAACGTGGGCTCCGTTGGGAAAGGCCTTTAAAATTCAACTCACGTTACTTTGACGGTCTTGAAAAATGCATAATTTGGGATGACTTACGTTAATCTCTGTCTGCAGCACGCGGTCATGTCAACACAGACGTCTCAACAAGTAACTAAATCACGGAGATCGTGTAAAGAAACTGTAGACTTGGAGGCACCTTTGGTTTTATGAATTTAATTAAATATTTAGATTCGGGGGAGTACAGCAACGACAAAAACAAGGGTCAAATCTAGTGATGGAAGTTTGAAGGAAAAGCTCGATGTCGATGCCCGGAAAAACATTCGATAATAGGGCTAAGAAAACATTGGTATTCGATGCATTGATGAATTTTTCAATAAATTACAAAAGGCTCAATTCTATTAATTGTTTATTTACAAGTAAAAACTGCAAACAAGCTTCCTTAATTAAAAATTTAAACATTATTGATGCATCCATAAGACTCTTTCATTGTTTGAAATTATAAAATAGGGAAAAAATATATCACATTTTTGATAGCAGTCTTTCAACTTGTTATATATTATGTATAAAATTAAAAAATAAATAATTAATAATTATTGTAAAATCAGAGAACGATGTTTCAAACATCGGTTAACATCGATATCAACAAAAACATCGTAACCCTTGAAAAAACATCGCTAAAAAAGATCGATGCTCGATGACAGTTTATCGACGCTACCTTCGAGAAGAAGAAGAGGAGAATTGCAATTTGAATTCATTTTTCTTATTCGGTGAATTCATCTAAATCAATCAAAGTGTGGCTGTTTGTAATATAGTTAAGCGCATTGACTGGCCCATGTAGAGACCTCTAAGTCGAGATACTATGTGATTTTGTGGAGCAGCGTGCAGAATCGCCGCCTGTCTAATCAATTACTAAGATACGCGCGGCGGCGGCTGCTTGGGCCACGGATCGTTGAATGCAACCTGCTGCCGTAAGTGTGAAACACGCATAAAATAATCATAAAAATTAAAAGTCTTTACGCAATCCTCACGGGCAGGTGGTGAAAGAAAGAGAGCTCAGGCTGTGCTAGCTGGCCGTGGAGCAGGGCAGGTGTGAGAGTGTTAAGTGGAGCAGCCACATGGAGACGTCAAGAGCTCTATTCACATCGGTTATGGATGTCGACGGGCTGTTGCTGTTGCTGTGGCAATGCCTTAATAGATTGCTCATTGCGCAGCGAAAATAATTTGCAGCCAACGTAGACGGTAACATGTGCATTTCAAGGTGAGTACCACCATTAAGACCAGCAGCTCGTAGGGCAATCGTTAAGCATTGGGGAAGTTGGGTGTTTGCTGTTTACTATTCGGGGTGTCCAAAACATTATTGGTACTCCTCGCACAGCGCCGACAACATATTTCAACTTCCAATTCAACGCAAATTAACTGGAGCCTTTCGAAACCCAGTGTGCAAATTTATTCAAGCTTGCCTCAGACTGAGCTGAGCCGAGTATAAGTACGAGTACGAAAGCGAAAGTGCACTGCTGTGGCTGCGACTGTTGGCTCTGGCTGTGGCTGCATGCAAAGCAAAGTTGCGCCATGGAAGTGCACGGTGAGCATGCGCCTCGTATAAAATATAAAGCGTTTGGATTACAACCGGGACCCAACATAGTCGAGTAATTTAATGACCATCTTCCGCGTGCGCCAACACTTTCGCACGGTAAGCATTGACACCGCCGCCTAAGGGGCAACACAGTGATCGGGCGGGCGGGTGGTTCATCTTGCGGTAATAGCTGGATTGGCATTGGCACTTCGACGAGTCTATAGCCCGACAGCTATGGGCCAAAACTGAAACAAGCCCTGATGTAACGCTGAGTTCTTGCGGCCACTTTCGGCCAACAGCGACTTTCCCATGCAAACCAGTCACACTTTCAAAAACCTAACATTTTCGCTCAACATTTTCCAGCAATAACGCATGTTAATATTTTCATTCAGGGCCATGGGAAGATGGGAAAGGGGCATGTCAGCGGGACAACAACGAGACGAGACCGGACTAGGCGAGACGAGACGAGACCTTTCGTTAACTTGTAGGAATGACATCCAAATGTTTGTTATAGTTCAACGAAATGGAAAGTATTTTGACTGTTCCTGCCCCGGCCATTAGTGACAGTCTGCAGCTTGTTTTTTACGGCTTTCTTTGGCTTTTTATTTATTTTATAATGTGCTCTTGTACACACGCATTTGTTTCTGTTTGGAGTGTTTATGTCACTTTCTTGCCAGACGACATTCTCCTAAATGAATATATAATGTCCACTTGATCTGCAGTTCATATGCATTGCTTCACACACTCTAATTTGTGTTAATTTTTGTGGTTTTTAAAGTTAAGTCTTGCTAAAAACTATCAATTAGTTCTCATTTAGTTGTTACAACCCAAGAAACTAGAAAACTCGCTAAAAACCCAGTCAAAACTGGTGAGCTAAAGTACTGGTGAAAGGCAACAGGAAAAGGGATTTATAATTAGAAATAACAATCTTTAATATTGTTTATATTGAATAGAAATTAAACTATCAGTAGTGGCTACAAATGCCACCATTAATATTGAAACTCTAGAAATTAAAATGAAAGCGAAAGTGAATTAGGCAACAAACCAGCTCAGCATGGAACTGCGGAGGGCTCTACGTGTACACATGGCTGTAATATTAAATACGTGCACGTAATTGTTTTATTAATAATATGTTTATATTAGGCGATCACTTTCCCCACTTTTCTTTTCGTTGGCCTGTGTCAAGTTCTTCGCCCCGCTCACTATTCATACGTAATCTAAATCAATTTCCGATTTTCCATCCCTCCTGCGGCTTGGTTTTTTTTGTCCAAATTTGTATGCATATATTTAAATTTGGACGACGGACAATTAAGTGAACTGTTTGCAGATTATTAACAGTTATTATAACCGCAATTTGCTCGCTTACACCGACACACTCACTCACTTAGCCAAACACTTATTCAACCCATTCATGCCATTCGAGCCAGTGTGTCTTGTGTTGTGTTGTGTGCAATTAATATCTGTGCCATAAGCTGGTTGGTTGGCTGACTGCTGCTGCTGGCTGATTGGCATACCTTACATAATTCCATTACCATTACCCAGCAGTTCGTTGAGTGGACAACCCGGGCTGACCAATAGCTTGACACGGTTCGGGTTGTTATGCTCGAAATGCTCGATTATGTTATTGTTTCGCTGGTAAATAGAGCAGGTGATCAGAGCCATGTACACTTGCACACATACCTAATTAGCCAGCCATCCATCTATCCATCTATCTATCGGCTATCCCCTTATGTAAATACACTCTCGAGCAGTCCGCGAGTCTATATTTACGACTCACCGCGCTCTATTGACAAGCGATTAATCGCGTAAAATAAATATATAAATTTTTGGCCGAATACTCATATATCTTGGCCAATAAAAAACATTTTGGTAGCAGCCGGGGCTTGTGCCCGGAGCAAGTGCTGGCCTGGCAGCTGGTGGTTTGACTTCTTCTACAAAGATTATTGAATTTGACATCGGATCGCAAGTCTTTTTGTGAGTTCGTCTCGGCCGAAAACAAGTTTGCCCGCTCAATTCTTTCACGGAACAAGATATTTCCATGACAAAGTACAGAATATATTTTTGAGGTTTAGCCTCATCTGCTAATCATATATACAAAATATTCAATTCAACTGAAAATACAATGTCGGAGAGTCTTCGGGGCTATTCTCCCCAACTCTTACTTTCATGCGATCGCCTCGAATGAGGTAACATCGGCTGGGCTTTGGCTTAGACAATTCGATTCCCCTTTTCACTTAGAAAGGTTGCTGTTGTCTCGACTGATCATCAGGCTTTGTGACGAGGAAAAGTAGCCTTAGTAGAAACATTAAGTTTCGACTGCTGTAATTAGACAAAGTCGTTTTGGCTATGCAAGTTCGTTGACTGGGCAGCCAGTAGCAACCAGTCTGTTAGCCATTTGCAGTGGCTAAGCTCCTAAAATGTTTTTAGTTTAAGTTGGCAGTTGCAAGTTACGAGTGCCAAGGTGTGAGGTCTCCTTCTCGACTGCTATTAGAATCTTCCTGACAAGGTGATTCAGCTGTTTATCCGTAGACATGTTCCCCTGCAGTCCTATTTGTCTAGAGAGCAACCTCAACCCCGAGAGTGTGCATTACTCACCTGTTTTGAACAGCAATAGACATAATCCCAGCAGCCACAGAATGCTTAGTCGACATGTTGAGTACTCCATGATGCAGGTATTGCGCGTCGTTGTAACTGTAACTGTAAATTTTCTTGATGTGGTTGGTGCTGTTGCGTTTTGAGGTTAGTTCACAGAACCCAAAATACCACCAAGCTCAGCTCCGGGTCTGAGCGGGGGCAGCTGCACACCACCAGCACCACTAGCACCAGCAGCAGCAGCAGCAGCAGCAGTGGCAGCGGCAGTTGCTGTTGAGAAAAGCTCTGGTTTGTTGCATACAATTGCCAAATAACTAAGAAGGCAGTGTCGCAATCTTTCAATTTAGATTTTTTTACGAGCCTTGTGTTACAATTTTCTTGGCTGTGGGTTTCTGCCTGCTGCGGCTGCTGCGACTGCTGACGCTGCTGCACTTTGTTTAGACGTGTTTTGTATTGTTGTTAGTGGCAAGTAGATGGAGTTGCGCTGCCCCTATTATTGGAGCTTTCGATGCATAGTTCACACACACGTTCACAGATTACAACACTTGGTTTTTCTCCTCTTTTTGCCTTTTTGGCAGTTTCTCAGTGTCTGTCTCAGTTCGGTGTCTCAGTCTTTGGTTTTTCACAGCTTTTCACAGGGGCAAAGAAAATGCAAAGAGACAAGCAAAACAAAACGAAGATCGATGCTGGCCGATGTCCGATGGCCGCCTGCTGCGATTCAGATTTGCAGATATCAGACATCAGACCTGAGAGATTTCCCGTACGGTATTCGCGGGCACTACCAAATCGGATCGGAAAACTGTGTGCGGGGAAGAAGAAAATGCGAAGCAAAATAAAACAAAACTTGCACGTTTTTATTTTTGTTTGTTGATGCTTGATATTTAGCGAAACTTTCTTTTCGACGAGGCGACGAGCCTCTACCGACACACACGCTCGAGCGTTGAGCCACAAAATGCAGTTAGTGGAGCCTGCTTTCTATTGGCCGGAGTGCAATACTCGATCGAGGGCCAAGCTCCATTAGTATTTAAGCACGTCGAATGGGTTCGAGTGTCAATTGAACGGTGCCAGGTCCGCGCTGGCTCGCCGGATTTTTTTTAAGGGTACAAGTCCGGGTGGCCCTCGAGGGTCGATCTCAGCTTACCGTGCGCTCAAGCGAACCACACGTCCTAATCGGAACAACTATACAGCGCGACTGTGCGGAGCGAGTGTCTTGCGGCCAGCTGAAGCAGCTAGCAGCAGGCAGAGCCAAGTTTCCGAGCCGAGTTTAGTCTGAGCCACGCTCGGCTCCGGCTGTTACTGTACAGCGCCTGTTAACCTCGCTGAGCAGCTACTCTCTTAAGCTTTTGAAAGTAAGAGTAAGGAGGGTAAAGCTCGTTCCACTGTAGCGTGAACAAAGCCACTGCGTCCACGGTGTGGGGCTGCTGCTTCTGATCTTTCTGGACTAATTATCTTGCACCAGTTACTGCGAGAACGCGATCCCAGATCAATTTTCTCGCTGAAGCTGAGCACTTTGCTGGGAATCGAACCCACGGTGGTGTCCGTCTGTCATTTGCAAACCAGATACACCACAAGGCGGGTTACTTGGGTGGTTTTCTTGAAAACCAACGAAACCAGCCAGCACTAGCACCAGCTTCAAGCTTCGGCTCCGGCAAACCTGCTCTCCTTTCCTCCCTGTGGCCACTGGTGATCCGCCTGGCTCTGCAACTATTTTCTATGGCGGTTGTGAAACATTGTTACACTTAGACTTGGACTGTCGTCTTGACGCTTCTAAAGCAGATTTGGGGACAAGGGTTCAGCGGCAGGTCAGAGCTGGGATTAATCCATTTGGCGCAGTCGCATTGTCCTTGATGGATTCGATTGGACATGCGGCGGTGTGCATAGCTTAACGCCAGCGCCTTGTCCACCACAGGCACAGATTTCAGGCAGAGAATTGAAAGTGAAACCGAGTTGGAAGCATGGCAACACAGCGGCCAAGAACTGGGCCAAAGCAGCCAACCAAGACCAGCCACACCAAACTGAGACTTGGCCTGCGAACCAGCACAAGCACAAGCGAGCCCGAGCCAGAGCCCGAGTCCGAGTAAAAGGGGCCCCTTGGTGAACGGCGACCGCCCGACTTGATGGCTTAAGCAAGCCATAAGCATTAATATAATTCTGTATTAATTTATTTATTGCTGGATTGTGTTTCACACGATTTATTCTGCTAGTGAGTGGAGGGCGAGGCGCATTCTGCCCGAAGCGATCTCAGCGCTGTTTCGGAAGTTGTATAATTTTCACAGTTGAGCCGCCATGAGGCCACTGAAGGGCCTTCATAATCAAATACCTTTATTCGAGTTTCTGGAGCTCAGTACTGAGACTGTTACCTTTCCCAAAGAACTCGGCAGTTTCGACTAGAATGATAAATGATATGGATTCTAGAATATAGGGGCTGGTGTCCATGAACGGATGACGTGGCGTATGCGCAACGTGGCTGGGATGGATAACGATCGGGGTGCCTCTTACAACAGCATTCCCCAGACGAGTTGGGTCACCCTGCCCGCGATTTTGTCGCAGTTTGACAGGTGGTTATTAGCTTTAATGGACAATTTCACAAACGAATTATTATAATGCGGGCCAATGTCTTAATCACAAAAATGAACCAACCAAATCTGTATGTATGAGTGCTGCTGCCAAGCCAGCAAATGTCCTACAATTAGTCGTTTCTGGCTTACCTTTTGCGGAGCCCCAAAAGTGCTTGCCATTCACTTTATAAATAGGCGGTGCAAATTTATCACAGCGTAATAATCCCGTTTCCGTTTCGAACTATTTTGGCCAGTGTTCGTATTGATAGTTTAACGTTTTCATTAAAACGAAATCCGCCAGAAGGTGGTCGGTCGGTCGGTCGGTCGCACATACATACCTTGGGCCCAAATTGATTCAGTATGCGACTAAGACCGACCGTTAAATGCCCGCTAAATTGGAAACCTTGAAAACTTCCCCATTACTTCTGCTGTAAAGAGCTTATTGGTCGGTCGGTAAGCCTACGAGCAAACACACATGCAGGCCTTCATTATTGTCTTGTATTTGAAATACGGATCCATTGTGCTCGCCCCGCTTTCCGATTAATAAATGGGAGTGTTGCACTTCAAAAATACATAATAATGGTCCCGTTAATTGAAAAAATCATTGTGGAACAGAGCGGTAAAAGCTTAATTAAATCACCGGTCTATTCGGTGAGGGTTAATACGAAATTCAACGCACTAAATTGTGCTTGATGTGAGTGACAAGTCACAAATTGGAAGCTGGAAAACTGAGAGTTTGTGAGGCGAAACGAGGACCTCGCACAGTTAAGAATTCATTTCCCTGCCTTGGACAATCAAAAACTCCACGGATTACCACCTGATTGTCGTTGACATTGTACATGTTGATGGCAGTTTTTTAGTGTTCGTCTGGGGTGCTTGGGCTGGCACATGCTGGAGCTCGTTAATTGACTTGCCCTTGTCAATACAATTCGACTTTGGCTACTTGTAGTCCAATTTATTGCAGCCGTTAGCGTTAACTCGATCGCACCTAGCCAGTGATACGCAAAATCCGCAATCGAATGCCATGGAATTCCCTCACACAATCGCCGCACTTTTCGGACCTGTGCTCTAAGCCATTGTATGAACTGAAGTATTTTGAAAGTAATTTTGGTCTAAATGACTCGAGTTCGGGGCACGCATTCGGGGCTTGCCTTTCTAATGAAAATTAAATTAATGATGTCTTTTTATAAACAATTCAAAGTACATATAATCACCTTACACATACACAGGCAGTCGTAGTCACACCTGCCACTCAAAACAGGTACATTTACTGCTAATCTTTGCTGGAATGTTTGCGTAAGAACCCAAGACTTTCCTTTTCATAGAAAGACTGGGGTATAGCGATTCCTAGTATACTTCCCAGTCAAAATTTGTAATCCTGATGCCAATTTTAGTGTAAGTGCAGTGGGGCTGCTGACACAAAGGCAGCCAAGAGTAACTTGCTGACCTTCCCGTTCTCCATGGCTCGGCGTGACGGTTTCGAAACAGTCGATAAAACGGTACAGAAGGGGGGCGGAGCAAAGGCGTGGCGACTGGCAGATAGACAGTAGGGGAAGGGGCGAGGGCGATTCAGCAAATGAATTGTACAGATCAGGCGCTGCGCAAATGGTGGCGACTAGAACAGCCGCCAAGCTGGTATTACCTATTAGCTATTACCGGACCCAGTTGCCAGCTGCCAGCTGACGAGTGGCTAGCTAGTAGAGCTAGTGACCACGCCTTGCTTCCTATGACCAGACTCCCAAGTCAGTTTTTGTGTTGTGTTGTTGATCGACAGCCAAGCTCACTCTGATTGACTTTTAATTTGGTCTCTTACGGACTAACAGAAGTGGTTAGATCAACCAATTGTTTGTGCACAATCGAACCCTGGTATAACTTGTACATTTAATATATCAAATATATAAAAATCTTAATATGTATCTTGCATGTGAAAGCATTTAACCATATTTACATAAGCAGTATGTAAAACCTGCAATACGGTTCCCATTGCAATTATCTTTAACGACCTCAGTTTCCTTCATTCACCCATTGTTGTCTGGTCACTTTTATGTTTTCCTTTTTCGTTTTTATTGAATCAATTGAGCTCTGTTGTTTATTTAATACAAATTTTAAGGTTTAGGAGATTTAGGTTCTCATTTCACACTGGCAATATTGTCACACTTTGTCGCTTAAAGTTAAGAAACATCGCCTGCAGCTCAGCCCAGCGCAGGTTGAATAAACCGGATCCCAGTGACAAACTGTAGCAGCCGCAGCACTAACAATTACTTCAATTTCAACCAGCAAAAGTATCTTACGCCAAGGCCGTTCTGCTGGCGGGACTACAACTCTTTCCTACCTACCGGAGGCAGGTGGGAATCAAGTTCCGCCCGTCGAGCCCGTTGCAATGCGGAAGAGACGTGTTTTACTGGTTCTCTCGAGGCAGAACCTCCATCGATCTGCAGTGGCACTTACTTCCTCCTTCCCACAGGCAAGGGCAACGGGTCGAATGCGCACCGTTACCAGAAACAGGGCCTGTTACTCCTGCCGCCCGTTCCGATATCAGCTCAGCAAGTTCAAGTGCGTGACCGCCCAAGTTTGGTGCGTGCAAATGGAGTTTTGGGAAGAGCAAAGGAAAAGAAGAAAGCCAGCTTTGCCTGGGCCAATTCGGCTTGCTTTCGAAATGCACACAATATGACGGCCTCCTCGCCTGTCAATGCATTACCAGACTCCAACTATAGCGAATGGGCATTAGCCGGGCAATCTGTCTCTGTTTCGGTTTCTGCTGTTTCGCCATCAACCCATCGACCCGCCCACAATTGTTGTTATGCTATGGTCACTCTGCGAGTACTACATTCTGGAGCAACAAATTCCGCTCGGAGAATGACACAACTCTTACTTTCATTGTGGGTCTGCTGGGTTTTGGTACTCACTTCCTCACTGTGGCCGTAACCGATTGTAAATCAAATTGCTCGGTCGAGTGTTTTGTTTGTTGCGCTCTGTGTGAGGTAATACCCAATTGCTTTGATTTAACCGGGAGCACTTTGTGAGGTCACGGTGTCATAAAACACAACTACCATAGTGCTATTGCTCTGCTCTCCTTTCCCTATCTTGCGCTTAATATACTTCTTTGTTTCTCTGGGTTACTTTATAGCTAAATTTAGTAATTGGTAATACCAAATTTTATTATAATGTAACCTTGGTTTGTAGAAAACATTGTGATTGATTGCATCGAGTTTAAGTATTACAAGTTCTTCGTAGTAAATTTCCAATTATGTTTTAATTTATTTCAGTTAAACAGCAAAATCAAAATATCGTCTTCTTAAAATAAAAATACTCGATAATAAAAATAAAATACAAGATGATATGAATTTTATCAATTTTATATTCTAAAAATTATATATCATTGATACGTAATTTTTTATGTATTTTCAGAGTCCTAGAAGACATTTTCAAAGGATTTGGCAAATCGAAATCAAATTATAACTATTAAACGGGTATAAAATCCTGCGACATCCGCGGACAATAAATAAAAATGTAAATGTGTATAAACCAAGTAAATATATGTGAAAGTGAAATATCAGAAGTGTGTTTGTGGGTGTGTAATTTCCATTCCTTTCCAATCTGTTCTATTTTTTTTATTTTTTTTTTTTTGAGTGTTTAATAAAGGCTTTAAATTTAATATGGAAAGGGAATATGTGATTCATTTCTTTCCATTCTGTTATTTTTTTTTAGTGTTTATTCTGTGAGTTAAAAATTGAGCCTTAAATACAAAAGGAAAAGGAAGGAAATTTTTATAATTTAATTTTCAATTCAATAAGAAAAAGACGAAGAAGAAAAAGACGAAGACGAAGAAGAAAGAAGAAACGAGAATAAAATTGGTATAATAAATTGGTAAGTGAACAATTCATTTAATTTGTATACTAAATATATTCCTATATTCTTTTACTCTTAATGCAAAAATGTTCTTTGCCCTACAAATTATATTCTTTGCCCTTCGAGATGTGGCGAGTGTACCTTTCCACTGAATATAAACGCAGCTTCGAGACCAATTTTCTTTAAATAGATTTTCATTTAATTTGAACTAGTTTTTAAATTTGAAATTTAAAACCTGGCATAATTTGGTACCTCTCCAAACTTTTAAACAAACTAATACATTTATCTCTTAGTAGAAAACTGTTTTTTTTTTAGGTACTTAAATAAAAAGTAAAGAAATTTACATCAAAGGTTAACCAGTTATGTGTACACACATAATTTATTCATAATATAACAGTTAGTAAATTACCATTCCAATTGAGGCGAAGCCCCACCACGGCTATAGGCAAACCCCCTGGTGCGTTGCTGTGGCCATTGCGCTACATTTGGAACAAATTCGTGAAAACGAAGACAACAGACGCGAAAGGCAGGACACGATCCCGAGCTCCAGAAATCAGGCCAGCAGCAGCACTGCCAGTTGGTCATGTCTATCGGCCGAAAGCAGCTTTTAGGCAGATTAATTACCAACTATGTATTCCAATGGCATTATTTAATAAATCCTAATAGTCTGTACATATGTATGTATTGGCCGTTAAAATTCGTCCGATATGTGTAAAATTAAACAAATCAAGTTAATACTTTAAGCTTGGCATTTACGCCACGCAAGAGTGTTCCTGTAATGGCCAAAAAGTGGGGCGTGTTCTTTGATGACTCTACTTAAATCCGAGCTAAGGTGCATTTCATAGCCAACCCAGGCCCCTCCCCGAAGTCCACGCCATGTGCCAAATTTTTAAGATCTTCTGATTCCATCAAATGGAGTGCAATTGTCTCGGGCTTATGATTCAATTGACGATACATTATGACAAACCATCAACTCTGGCATCCCAAGGTGCGGCCTTTGCCCGGCCAGGTCCACGTTCCCTTCATATTTTTCGGATCAGAGCAGCAGCAATACTCCGGCTCCGGCCCAGCCACCGGCCTATGCAAACTATTATTTGCACAATGTGCACAATCCGCACCCATTTCTAACGTAGCATTCGGCTTTGTTGCTGCAGCGAGAAGCCAGAACGTGGCGCTGCAACTCGAAGGCTAAAAGTCAAAATATGTATGCATATATTTGACTGTCTCGGGCCGTTGGTTGTTGTTTATTACCGCCCCCCCGCAGCACTTGAACATTTTACGAGTTAAAAACAAGTTCAGATTGCAGCGGAGATCCATTGGGCAGCCTAAAAGTAAGCTTCTGCAATTTATATGTCGAGAACTGATGTATAGAGTCCGTGTAAAATACGTGATGCACGAACATCAGAGGTTCATTCGACTTTCATAATTTTCAGCCTAGACGTATGCAACGAAAAATAGAAAATGAGCGCCTTGAACATTCCGTGGCATACATCTTTAGCAATATTTTGCTGTAATTGTAGACTTTCCCCAGCTGGAGAAGCAACTTCAATACTACAATACATACATATGAAACAATAGCTTGTATAAGCAATGGGTAGAGTGAAGTGGAAACACGCACGCAAAAAATTATGTGCTTTCCAGCGACCAGACGCCCCTTAAAAAAAATAACGTCGCACCCACACATGTGCTCTACCCCTTAACATAGCGCTCTTGTCTCCCCGTTGCCATAAAACGAAGGGCGAGCGTTTTTTATTTGTATACAGTTGCAGAGAGTATTATAGTTTTAATGAGAGGCTTGCAACTTAGTCAGTTATAAAGGTTTTTAAAATCTGGATAAAGGATTCGGAACCGGAAAATAGACAAGATATGGCTTTGTTGCAATTTTTTTACAAATTAAATTTAATAAAAATCATATGTGCAAATAAAGTACCTTGGGTAATAATAAATAATTAAATCTTTAAGCCAAATTAAGGTTTGAAAGGGTATAGAAACTTCGGCTTCTATAAGTTTTCCTTTTTCTTGTTGTTTCTATGTGTTATGTGCTAAGTATACACACAAGTTTGTCGCTCTGTCTGTTGCTTTTTTTCCCTTACATTGCAAATCACATGGAGTAAATGCGCCATAATTTGGGGCGGGTTCTTTCCCTCCCCAAATGCCACCGTCACCTGCAGTGTGCATGTGATCTTGGAATAATATTTTGTGCATATGTTGGTAATGCCATGAAACCCCCTGTAAATAATTGCAATATCAAATTTTGCAAAAGTTCTCTCTGAAGCATCATAAAAATCGAACAAAAATTCATTGCATACCTTGCGGCGTAGGGATGCAATATGTACATATGTATGTATGTATGTATGTACTTATGTAAGTGATGAAAGAGGGTACTAGAGCATACGATCTCTACATAGATTTTATGTCTGGAAATGGATTAGTTAAAAATCAACAAAAAAGTTTTAAAATTCACTGCCCAATTGATCCTCAGCCCCTTAATGAACCCCTATACTAATGTACATACATATGTATGTATTTACAATAATACAAATGTGTATGTATGTAACTTAATAAAATTACATTCAGTCATTAAAACACGAAAAAAACCCAAACATTTGCCTACTTATTTGTTTTATGTTTATGTTATATTTCCATATAATGGAGCTGCTTAGCCAGATAATAATACAAATGTATAAAAATGGCCGCTTTCTTATCTAATAAAGTCGTACCCTTCTAGTTCAATGAAAAAATAATGAATAATTCCTAGTCGGCTTAATGTACACCAACGGTTTTATGTAAAAAGTTTCTCTTTATACACATACACACACAGCAGTCGTCCATAAGTAAAAAAGTATGGCGCGATAGCGTAAGGAAATAGCAACAAAAGGAGAGAAAGATCAGAGCACTAAAGCATTCAAACATAGATACACACACATACATACATAATAAGACACACGCACACTGTCCAACGAAGAGACTAGTTTTTTTTGTGAGAGGAGTCGCATGTCGTGTCGCATCGCCACGAGTCGACTAATACCCTTTAGTCTAATGGTATGCTTTTGATTTTGAAAGCTAATTGTTCTGATTGTGCTTATTTAACCTTAAAGTTGTAAAGCACCCAAGGTGCCGTTTGAACTGAGATCAATGGTAAAGCGAAAGCTTCCTGATACTTCTGGACAAGTGTTGGGCCTATGACATTTATTGCATAGATCCCATGTACCCGGCACTCTCCTCCGCGGCTGCCGAAAGAAAAACCGACCAGAACGCACACAGCTAGATGGGGGCAGGCATTGAGGCCACATGGATAGAGCGGAAAACTGGCTGTGCGCCATGAAACAGACTGAATACCAGGCGTTCACCCACACCAGTGCGCGAAACACGAAAAAAAATACAGAAACAAAAAAATCGTGTAAATGTGTGTAAAATAAGCAACAGTCAGGCAGCAAGCACACGCACACAGCCAACGGCCCAAAAGGCCACAGCCGCAGCGAGCGCATAAAAACAACGTAGGCGAGGCGGAGAGACGAGTACAGTAAGCCGTCGGCGCGCGTGTGTGCGTGCGGGAATGCATCAGTATGGGTGGGTGGTGAGTGTAATGGCAAACAGCAGCAACGTTTATTTCGCTCAGTTTTATTTCGTTTTCTCGTCGCGACGCAAGTGCTGGTGAAATCGTTGTGGCAAAAGCCTTTTTAAAGCTGATAAAACTACTATAGTGGCCCCGTGTCCAAGTTAGTGGGCTCTTTGGGCAGCCGAAACCCGATTAAATAAGGTTTACACAAAGATTTTAAGGGAAAATATATTTTCCTCAAAAAACGTAGCATAGCGAGTGCGGACAACGTCAAAAGAAGAAAGCAAAATGTGAGTTTGACAGAGAGCACGAAGATCGTTTCTCCCTCCCTCTCAGCCCTCTACTTAGGAACTTGTGCTCTCTTTGCCTTCACTGCTCAGTACGGAATACAGTTTGTTATTATTTGTTTTTCTTTCTGCCATTTGTTTTGCACGCTCTCAGCTAGTTTCGCTCAGTCTCGACAAGGCGACTTTCTCAAATTGCAAGTGTAAAATAGTACGAAATGTAGTGTGCAAGGCAAGCCGCATTATTGTACGGCAGTGTGTGTGAATTCGGTGTGAACGCAAAGTGAGCGGCTCGGGACGACGCACTCGTTTATTTTCCGCCCCGTGGGAGATTTTATTAAATGCATTTCGTCTTTGCCAGTAGCATGTTGCGTGCGGTGCTCTGACTCTGGAGGTGAAAGGGCGACTACATAAGGGAAGTGCAGGTGCAACGAAGCCATCATGGATGCCCAGTTCGAGCACTTGTGCCGCATTTGCGCGGCCAATACGAAGAGCAAAACCAACTCGGTGGTGGAGAGTGTGTTCATCTTCAAGACCCAAGGCCTCAAGGATAAGATATCGCGCCACCTCTATCTGAACGTAAGTAAATTGCCGGAGATTGCACTGCAGCATCGGCTTATTTAGTATGTGCCGCAAAAAAATACCGAAACTCTTATGCGCCAACCCTGGAGACCACCTAACTGAGCGCGCTTAATTTAAAATTGGAGATCAGTACTGAAATGCTGCAAATGAAGGAGTCGTAAAGCCTAAGATGATTCTCATACACGTTCACTCCTCCTCTAGGTCGCTGAAGACGATCCACTGCCAAAGGTGCTCTGCAAGTCGTGCTACCGACAGGTTGAGGCCACGGCCTCGCTCTCAAATATTGCCAAGCACACGCAGCTTGTGTTTCGGGATTTCCTACTCAGCACATTGGTAAACGGAAATGCTTTCCCCACTAGCAAAAAATTTTAATAAACTTTCCAACTTGCAGCCCAAAAATGCACGAGAAGCAGCAGCGGCACAGCTGTCTGGAAGAAGCGAGGAAAATCCTGCACAGTCCGACGAATTCCGTCCCATCTTGTTAACCCACGTGCCGGAGACCACCATTACAGTGTCCAAGCCCCAGGCTGGGAACACACCTAAAGAAGACAACAGCAACGTTGCTACTAGATCCAACAAGGCTACTGTGAGATGCGAGGAAAACCTTTCGCACACCGATGAATTTCGTCCTATTATGCTGACCCGTGTGCCGGAGACCACCATCACAGTGTCTCAGCCGCAGGCTGGGAGTAGGCCCAAGGATGATGGCGTTGTCGCCAGTAAACTCAGGGAGCCTAGGGAAAGTGTCGTGCCTCCTGGTATCGCAACTGGAAGGAGCAATTTGCCGCCGACGCGTCGCAGTAGCGTATTTGTGGATTCTCGCTACGGATCGGCGCCAATGTCGATTGCACAGCGGTCGATGCAACATCTGCCTTCGTTGGTCCCTCTAACTTCCGAGGTTTCGGCAATCAGTATCCCCAGGAAGAGTCCGGAGAAGAAACTGTCGCCGGCCGGGGTGATAAACTTCATTCAGACGCACGGACGCATCACCGGCAATGTGCCGGTGGCCGGCAAACACGACAACACCAGAACTACAACGGCATCCGTTTCTCCAACTTCAAATACGCAAGGGACCGGAATGGCAAACTTACCCAGCAACGTCTTACAACAGAAACGCAGAAATCTCAAGAACGCCTTGAACAACATCAAAGCCATACACAGCGGGCAGGTGTCGCTGCTTAAGTCAGCGCAAATCCGGAACCCAGTCGATGATATTCGGCCCTCTGTCACTGCGACAGTAGTTCCTCAAGAAGCCCTGTACGGGTGTGAGCCATCGGTGGAGGAAGCGTTGCCGGAGCACATGATCTTTGCGGCGCCAAAAAAGAAGCGGGAGGACGAAGAGCCCTTGGTTAAGACGGTTCCGCCGAAGTTAAAGAAAGGCCTGCCGCCAAGTCAAGCCAAGTCATTGCCGGTCACGCTCGACCTGACTGAATCTTCGGCCGGCCCACATGCTTCACCCCCGACCAAATCAATGCCCAATGTAAAAAGCCTCTCGGATGCAATTTCCCTGGGCAGCGTTATAAGGGATCCGGACTTGTTGATGCTCATTCTTAAAGCACTGAAGTGGCCAATATCTGCCGGGAACTGTGAAGAGCAAATGGCTCGATTAAAGTGCTCAAAATTTGGTGTTATTATGTCGGATAACAACCTTCTTCAGGACACGGACCTCACACAGCTTTTGGGTCCCTATTTGGGCCCCATGCTGGCGGTTGTTCAACAGCAAGATAAACAGGCTGTTTCAGCGGCTATCCCGACTGCTGGGCTGAGCAATTCCTTGCCAGCCACAAAGGATATACTGAAGTTGACAGACCTATCCAGTGCAATGCCTTACAAACTACCACCAGAGACGTCGGTTCAACTAGTACCCTCCAGCCCCACAGAGTTGGAACCTCCACCTCCACCTCTGCGGCCCAGGAAGTCAGTTAGTGTATCTTCTGTGAAACGTTCTCAACGAAAAGTGCGGACTCGAGAACGGCCAACCGGACAACCATCGGCTTCAACTTCAAATGCGGCGCATGTGAGCAGCGAGTTATTGAACATCAACGCTATGCTTTTATCACAATTTGGATCAAATCCTGCGGATGCGCTTAACGAGGCCCTTATTTCACTGCTTAAGCAGCAGCAGGAGTCGAAGGAACAACGTAGTTCCCGCCGGCGACGTAGTGCGTCAAGCAGTGTAGTTAATTTAGAAGATATTGTGCTAGTCGAGCCACAGCCGCAGGCGCAGCCACTGGAGGCGGGACCACACGCCGCCGAGGACGTCGTGGATGACCATTTAATCAAGCAACTCCCTCCAATAGAGCAACCTGCAGTTAATCGACCTGTTGTTAAGAGGCGTAGAACCGTCATGCAGGCCTCAAAACCGCCAGAAACTGTAGGGCGTAGCAATAGGGACTCGTCCCCTGTAAAGACTCAAAAAGCATCTTATTCTGTTGCCTCAGAGGAATCTGTTATGAAGCTATCTGAAAATGCTGTTCAAAAAGTAAAGCAATCAATTGAAGAACCCACGGCTGAGCCGTCCCAGGCACCGACAAGCACAGTGCCAGAGGCTGCGAGCCATCATGTCGATCCTCTACCCACAACTGAGCAAGAGCCTCCTGAAGCCACTGAGGCTTCTCCGTCGAATGGAGCCAGTGGAGATACGGAAAACGGCAAAGCAGACACGGCACCCGTTCGCAAGTCGGAGGGTAAGGCTGCGCTCGGCCAGAAGCTGCTGGAGGCAATCGGTCTTCCTCAGCTTGGCAAGGATGTGGCACCGGAGAGCTCGCGCGACACCCTCAGGAGCGCCCTGAAACGTTCGCTGAAACAAGCGCAGGAGCAACAGCAGCAATTGAAGCGGGTGAAGCAGGAAGAGCCCGTCAAGCAACTGGCGGATTCTACGACCAAGCTCAGTGCTGCCGAATCGGCGGATGAGCGCAAAAAAGTGATTGCGGAACGGGAGCTGGCACTGCTAAAGCGCAAGACGGCAACATCCGGAGATGACAGCAGGTTGTCCGTTAAGGAGTGAGTTAAACCAGTTTTTATTATAGAAATACCTAGTAAAATTTCCATATTTTCAGCGAGAAATCTGAACGCACCGACGTGAGTTCTTCCTCGTCGCGGAATCGCCGAAGCCGTAGATCCAAGACGGATGCAACAGCGGACTCGGGCGATGAAGAAAAGAAATTGGAGCGATGGGACGAGGATGACGAAATGCCGTTGAAGACGGACGCTGAAAAGGCTATGGAACGAAGCAGCAGCAGCAGTAGTAGCAACCGCCCGACCCGCACGAGCAAGAGCTTGTCCAAGTATTACAAGGGTCCATCCCCCAAATCGCAGCACGCAATGGGTACGCGCTCCACACGGCAGCGCTGATTAGTTCCCGGCCACAAAAGATTTACATTTTATTTCACATATGAAATATGAGAAATTATTTTTGAAAAATTACATAGCTTAAGTGTCTTGGAATTGTTCAACTGTGTACAATGTACGCGCGAATGTTGAACCTCGTTTAGTTATTACATTAGAGTCGAAGAACCCTATTGATTCGAGGACAATAGTACAACTATTTGAAATCGTTCTCTTATAAATCAAATTATGAGGAACGGATTGTAATGATAAAACTTAAAATATATACATTTATAATGGAAAGTTAAACCTTAAGATCTTTGAAAGTTTGCGTTATTTGAATTATATTTTTATCGACGATTACCCAGAAGTCTATTATTTAGTTTTATTTTTGCTGCCTTCTTCAAAGTGGGGCTTGTAAGATATCTACTGAAAATGATACAGCTGCAATTGTACGATCAATGTCCGTTCTATGATCTCTGCGATCAGGTCATAGTGCTTCTCTTGTTTGAAAGTTGATTTGGTTGAGTTAAAAACCATTCTCCTCTATTTTTCTAACCAAAACTAATAAATTTGTAATACTATTTGTAAGTACGCTCGCCAGTTTATCATTTGGGAACAACTTGGGGCTGTAAAAAGCTTACTTTTATCTATGAACAATATCCAATTAGAAGTATTCTGTCATACAATTAACATTTTCATGCTTTCGTACATCTACGAATGTACAATGCCGAGGCGTTGGTGGCTGACTCAGTCGACTTGATGAAAGTGTGCAAAGCGAAATTCAGTTGCAAAAGTTTCGTGACAGACGTCGGTTGCTAAATGCTAAATATTTTTAGCCTGTGTTTCTGGGAACCAAAGAATTTATTATTTGCCACCTAAATATAAGAAACAAAATTTGAATATTTACATAGTTACTCGTGTTAGTGAACAAGGTCGTTCGAGGCCAGCCACCCACTGATAACGCCTTGGTTTTTGGATTTAATTTGTGTTTGTGATCTATCTGAGTGAGATGAGTTGCTGCTGCTGTTGCAGGAAACGGAAGCGGAGCGATCAGGTTAATTATCGGCGCTTTGGAAACGACGATGTAAGTTATTGGTAAAATCTTCCATGGTGCATCACCTGGTTCATCGTCGCCCATTCATGGTGGATAAGAAAGCCCTGCAACTGAACTCTTATCGGAAGTTTGGACAGTTAGGAAATTGTCTGCGTGTTAGGTCCCCTATATAAAAGAATACATATATGTACATAGGAATAGTCGCCCCCGCATATGTGCGTTGGTGTGCGTTATCACAGGGGGACAAAAAAAAGCTATTTTGGTGTCGATACAAAGTTTAGGCTATAGGTGACGGCTATTAGACTACAGGTGACCGTCAGACCGGCATGAAAACAAATCGGAATAAAAAATCGCGCATAAAAAAACCCAACTCCAGCCTTACTGAGACCCCCCCCCCAAACAACAACATCTCGTTTATCCAGAGAGAGAGAGAGTTATCAGCGAACCGAGACCGAGAGCCAGCCTGTGTGAGAGCAAAGAGAGCAAGTGAGAGCAGAGCAGAGCGTGAGCACCCCCAGAACAAATTCGCATCTCTGCATCAGTGTAAAACGCTAACCAATTGTTTTTTGTGGTAGTATGACGGCGATAATACTACTGGTCTGCCATTCCGTTCGCGAACTCGTTGATCTGTCGGATGCGCTGTGGCAAAACGCCTTTGATATTGATCGAAGTCTGAGGTACTATCGCACCAAACGGCGCCTGCAACTGTTTCGATTTCATTGCCGGGAGCTCTGGTTGCGTCAGTTCCTGGATAACCCCGACAGGCCGGCCATCTGCGACATGCATCGGCATCGACCTGACGTGATTGATTTTGCGGCCATTGAGGCGGGAGCCGAGTGCAGTCAAAACATGGACCGGGAGCGGGACCGGAATGTGCACCTGAGGTTCCAGCAGGCGGAGGGCCAGCAACTGGAACCGGTGATGGACTACTTCAGTGACATCGAGGTGGTGGACGGACGGGAGTATAAAGTACGTAATCGGAAAAGTGAGGCGCAATCATCTGATACCTGGTGTGCCTTTGCAATTAGTGAATTTTAAATTTAGAGAGAGCCAGTTTTCACACTACTACATTCTCATTTTCATCCACACATCTTTCTCTCTCCTCTACTGCGTCTTTACTATGACATTTAGCGTTCTCTGCAGTAGCTCCTCCATTCGCATTGTTGGGGTGTGCTTCGAAAGCCCTCTCCCAGCTGTTTGTCACAGTCGCGTCCGCCTCAAGCTTCGGTTTGTTTTGCTGAGACAAAATAATTCTCCAATTTACACACAAACTGAAATTATCTGTACGGACTGTTTACAGAAACTGTGCTGGAGTCATAGCTCCCACAGAGAAGCTGAATCAGCGGCTTACTTGTATATATTATATATATTTACTGCCAGAGAATCGCAGGGTCGATAAACACCGATTTGCGCTTTATGTACAAACACAAAGAGCTTTTCGACGCTGTCATAGCGACAGCAGCGGTGTTGTCTCCTTCGATTCTCTTCGAGCGATTCATTCGCGAAGTGCGAGACAATCGAACAAAAAATAACAACGGCCAAGCAGCAAGCTCCCTCCTTAGCTGTGAAACAACAATTGTCTGTCCACATATTTTCCTGGGTCTTCCACACCAAATCGGCGCCTGTGGCGTCCACTAACTAAAAGCAGTTCAAAGTATAAGCATAAGCTTATTCATTTTTATATTCCGTGTGCCGTGAACTGTGCAAGGACGATGTTGAATCATTGCGTCTAAAAGAAGGAGAAACTATTATCTAGTCCAGGACATAAAATGTGTCTCAGTGCCCTGTCCGAAAAGTGGCTCTGCTGCTGCCGCAAGAAAAAGCGAGGTGGCTTGAATGAGGTAAGCACCAATTGATGGAGTTGGGGATTATTGATTCGCCCTGTGGTGCCTTTAGGAACGTTTGGAGGATCAACCCTTGCTAAGTAAGACCTTGCTTTGCTGTTTAAATATGTAAAAAATGTCGAAAATTAGAGACAAAACGAATACAACAATGAATTGTTTTAAGCCAAAAATAGCCAGTGTGGATTCGGTTGAGGTTGAGGCAATCAAAAACAGTGCCCAAGTACGTGCTCGCATAAAATGTATGGAATTGGCAGTAGACTTGGAATGGCGTCATAAATGGGATTAGCTTTCGGTGCCCGAGTAGGCCTTGCAACAGTATTCGATATAATGTTTAGCTATTGGGACTCGCAAAATGCATTCCCCCATGAAGTGGCGAGGACACAACCATCACCATCCATTTCAGTAACTAACGAGCAGATCTGCTCTTTTGTGTTTGTATTTATTATCTTACATGCTGCGGTTCCCCTTATAGGCCTCCTATTACGAATATACGGATCCACAACCAAAGTACTACAACGACCAGATCGGGCAATTGAGCGAGGGGCTCAGCTTCACCGTTTCCGGAAGGCTGCCGGTAAACTGCGAGCGGTATGCTAAACAAAAGTCGCCCAAGTTGGCACATTTAATTACAAATTGAATGCATATCCCCAGATTTTCCATCAATCTCGTTCGCAACAACGAATCGAGGGATGTGGCTCTGCACGTCAACCCAAGATTGCCCCAGAACTATATCGTTCGCAACACCAAAGTGGAGGAGATATGGGGCAGCGAGGAAGTCTCCTCGGCACTGCCCTTCCGCCTGTCCCGCGGGGAGAAGTTCTCCATTCAAGTGCTCGTGACAAACCCTTGCTACATGATATCGGTGAACGGTCAGCACTTTGCCGAGTACAAACATCGAGTGCCCTACAAGGACGTCCGCATTCTTGAGGTCAAGGGTGACGTGGAGGACGTGGAAATGCAGCGGGCGCTGGTCATGAATTATCCCCAACGCTTGCCGGAGTCGGAGCCAAAAAACATAGAGCTGCACATAGATAATGGGATCGACGAGATCGACGCAAGCGCTGAGGAGGCCGTCACCATACCCCAGGAGTGGTGCCTTATTGGCGCCCCGACCAAAAAGTTGGAGAGCTCCCCAAAGAGTGATCACAGCACAAACGACCTTGGACTTACCTTGCCCTACTATGGCGCGCTGCCGCCAAACTCGCTGGTCGAGGGGCGATGCCTGAAGATCGAGGGACGGGTGCGACTGCTGCCCCATTCGTTCTACATCAACCTGCAGCAGGGACAGGACATATGGCCACATCCAGTAATAGCATTCCACTTAAACCCCCGCTTCTCGAAGGCCAGCAGCGGTGCCTTAGGAAAGGCCGTGGTGTGCCGTAATGCCTGGTTCAACGGTGCCTGGGCCGAGGAGGAGCGTTCGGAGCTGGACACGAACTTCCGACCCGGTCGAACATTCATATTGGTCATCGTGTGTACCAAGGACTCGTTCGAGGTGTATGTCAATCGCCAGTTCATCACGGAATTCAAGTACAAGGTCAGCCCCGAGCTAGTCGACACTGTGTACATCCAGGGCGACGTCAAGCTATGGAATGTGACGCTGGAGCAGAATCCAGTGATTAGGGGAAGGAATGTGCGCATTTATCACAATCCTTTGTGTTCTGATACTGAGTACTAGTTGTGTCCAAATTATAGGGTCTAAAGTTATGCTTGTTTTCTCATTGATAGGCGACAATAATACAATAAGGTTTTTATTCACTCGAAACGTTAACTGTATATTGTTGAATTAATAATAGTGTAATATAATCGTATTACCAATTAAAATTAAAAGTAAAATGGAATTACCTATTTCCCTGTTTTTACGCTTTCTATTGTGAACTGATGCGTTTCTTGGCAAGCTTGCAATACACACGCAGACGAGAACACTTGTGGAATCAAACAAGCTCTCTCGCTCTTCGAATGCTACAACAGGTTGTTGGCAAATGTAGCTTTCAGAGCTTACGGTCCACCACAGCGAATAAATAAATAAATAACAAAATGACAAAATTAAAAGGCGCTTATAGGGTATGACCTTTTTCAAGTGACTTTTGGGAATATTATGTCAAAATTTTGGGGCATTTTGTCGAAGGTTTTAACTGAATTTGATTTAATTGTCGTTTGCTATGTATTTGTGTAGTCCCCGCGACTATGTTTCCTGGAGCCAAGGCCATCGCCCTAAGACGGGACCTGGACGCCATCTCCATGTTCTACGAAGAACGCTCGCAATCCCATTGTCGCAAACAGTTCAAAGTGCTCGAGTACCCAAGGCCAGGGCAATGTTTCGTCTTTCACGGAATGATTCCTCGGGCATGTGAGCACTTTTCCATAAACTTCCTCTCCAAGCCGCCAGACAAGGTATACGATGTGCTGCTGCAAGTGGGAGCCCGACTGCCCCAAAACTATATCACACGCAACTCACGCATCCGGGAGAAGTGGGGTCCTGAAGAGAATTCATCGAACCTTAGCTTTCAGCTGAGCCGTGGCACGTCCTTTTGGATGCAGATCCTGCTGACGGAGAATGTTTTCTTTATAGCAGTGAACGGCTACCATTATGCGACATATACGCACCGTATGCCCTACCGGATGCTGGAAGCCGTAACGGTAATTGGCGACGTTTCGGACCTTGTTATCAATAGTCACTTCGTGTCCGAGTATCCTGTTCGCCTGACTCACTCCATGCCGAAAACGATAAAGGCGACTAACGATGCTGGGGCAGCCAGAATGGTAACAGATGATGATAAAGCTGACTGGGAAAACGAATCGCTTCTCCTGTCGGCCGCTGTGTCGACCAACGATTTTCTCTTCCGTAAAGGCATCAGCCTTCCCTTTTACGGAAAGGTTCCGAAAGGCTTTCCGCTGGATGAAGGAAACGCCCTTCGGATCGTTGGTCGCGTCTGCCTGATGCCCCAAAGCTTTAGTATCGCCCTTCAGGAAGGACAGCAGATCTGGCCCCAGCCGCGAGTATCTTTCTATTTCAGTCCCATTTTCCTGCAGAGCAGGCATGACAAGATCGGTAAGGCTGTGATCAAACGGGCCGCCTACCAAAATGGCAATTGGGTGAATTGCCAGGAGTCGCGCCTAAACACAACCCTCACGCCTGGCGGTTCGTTTGTCATCGTAATTGTGTGCCGCAGTGGATACTACGAGCTATTCGTCAACACAAAGTTGATGCTGGAATTCAAATATCAAATGAACCCTCGCTGCGTCGACATGGTAAACATCCGGGGCGACGTCAAGCTCTGGGAAGTGGTCATAGAGGGCAGCCAGGCCGGGCCAAAGGCATCTAAAGGTAACTATAGCTTGTGCAAGTCTTTCTTAGCCCGCCATCCATTTGTACCCAAAACCTTCGGCAGGTCGTTCTAATTTTCATCGCTGGCGGCAACCTGAAAAGTCCACCGGCAAGTAAAATATGTGTGTTCACCTCGAGATCAATTAATATGCTACTGTTCGGAAATGCAACCTGTCGAAAGGCATGTTCTACAAATTTATAAGGGCCATGTTGACTTCGTTGCATCTATTTGGGGAGGAGAACAGACGGAGACGGAGCGCAGGACTGCAATGATACCCAAAGCCTGCCTGTCACTCACTGTATGCGCAGATTTATGATTTCATCTCTGCCAAACGCACACGCATGCTCACAGAGTAAGTATTTTGCGATTCTGCAATTAAAATGGCCTAGGGTACTGCGCCGCGCTCCAACTCATAAATGTCAACGTGCTGTCGTCGTCAACTGAGCCAGAGAGCCAGAGCCAGAGGAAGAGGAGGAGCAGAGCCTGAGCCTGAGCGTCTGCCCATAATGGATGGCAAAGCAGAAGCCGCTGCTTGATATCGAAGGGCCTCGGAAATTGATTATTAAAAATGATAATCGATTAAGGACACAGCATGGCCGGGCAGGCCAGAGTCGGCACTGGGCATGCAGGCTGTCCTGAATTGACGTTTATGTCTACATGTGTTTCTCAAGACAGTTGACATTGTTTTGTCATGGCCGGCAAAAAGCAGCCGCAGCAGCAGCAGCATCAACAGCAGGAGCAACAAAATAAGCCAGGCCGAAAACGTCCAGCCTGCAAATATTTCCCAAGGCTTGCCAAAGGAAGTAGCGAGCGTCTGCCAAGAAAAAAAAGTATTATTTATGGTTCAAGTTTGTACGTGTCACGCATGCCTCGGACCATTTTGCTAATGAAGTGGATTACTGATGCGACTGTGCCTCCAAATTAGGTTTCCATTTCGGATGCCTTATGGCCTGTGCCTACACACAAACACATGTGTATTTATCATTCGTACATTTTTCAACAGATGCCCATATACAAACCCAGCAGTCTATTTTTAATAAGTGTCTATAAATTTTATCATCAGCATCGAAAATTTTACTCTGATTTTAGTTTATGATTTTGCGAAGGGGAGGTTCTTCTATCTTTCATCAAGAAGCCAATGAGTATTATCCAGACTGAAGTTGTACAAGTCCAGGAATATTTTAGACCTTCTTGAAGGGTTTTTATGATTTTAGTCAGCGAAGGAGTCGTTTCCGACCCTAAAAATCATATATATTCTTGATCAGCACAAAAAGCGGAGTCGATCTAGCCATGTTTAGAAGAAAGTTAAAAAAAATTTTTTTTTTTAATTTTTCAGGTCTTAAATTTATTGAATGTCCAGAAAAAATTAGCAAAAATTTTAATATCTTAAAATGTGAAATTTTGTATGCATTTTCGTTACCCTAGGAAAAACTAGCACAGAAAAGCTTTCCGAATTGAATTTGATGCTTTTTTGGCTTAGTTATGATTATTTTTTATAAAAAAATTACCATGTAAAATATATAAAAATATTCATTTAAAGAAAGTGAATATTTTAGACCTTCTTGAAGGGTTTTTATGATTTTAGTCAGTGAAGGAGTCGTTTCGGACCCTACAAATCATATATATTCTTGATCAGCATTAACAGGCGCTTCTTTCTAGCTTTGTTCGGAACAAATTTATTTTTTAGCCATTTTTGCAAAAAAATGTAAAAATTAAAATTTGCAAAAATTGCCAAAATTTTTTATTTTTTAAAATTAAAAATTTTGTATGCAGTTTCGTTAGCCTAGAAAAAACTAGCACAGAAAAGCTTTCCGATTTGAATTTGATGTTTTTTTTGCTTAGTTATGATCGATTTTTGATTGAATGAAAGATCCTATGGCAAACTGAAAGGGTATACAAATTTCGTCCAGCCGAAGTTACGTTTCCTTTCATCTTTTATTATTAATCTGATTACTTCTACGAAATTGAAATAGAAAAACAAATATGCTTCTAATAATTATGATTATTATGATTGCAATAATTAAAATGCAAGTAATTATACAAACATGGGAGCCAGTGGTTGGGGGCCGCCCGGGTCTTGGTCTCTGTCGAGAACCATGCTCCTGTCTTGCAGCTTTCCCATTACCTGACCTGCAGGATGACTGCTTTCGGTGGCCGGTTCCGAGCCCCCGATCCTTGTCCCATCGAGCGTGAGGTAATTATCGCTGAACCAGCTGCAGGAGATTTGTTGTCGAACGGACTCTGCCTTGCTGCAGTTTATTAATTTCATATTTTACCAGCTTGCTCGCGTTTTTTGCACATTTTTCAATGGCAATCATTGGCTTTGGCATCTCTCTTTCGTATGATCGCATTTCGCAAATAACTTACTCAATGTTGCCATTTATCAGCAGTTATTATGTTATTAATTTTATTGGCTACAACAATATTTATTAATAAGCCGTGTTGCTCGTTGCATTTAAAGGCATGTACATATGTTTATTTGGAAATTGAAAAGCTTTTCTAGAAAATCCTTCGGTTTTTTAGTACTTAACCAAAATAAATTAAGCTCGAAGTATAATTAACGCTCGGACATTCCTTGGAGCTTGGACATTTTTCGACCAAAAAAAAAGTCCAATTATATTGGACAAAATTGGGCTGGCGGTAGTACCCGGGCATCGGCTTGGCTTGAATAAATGGTAACAAATGCATTCGCACCAATTTACAACATGTCCTCGCCGGCCAGCGCCGATTAGCCGGCCAGGCGCAAAAGTGAGCAAGGCTTATCAATATTCCGACTGTGTGCCCATGTCACACAGAACACTGTGCAATCAATGCCTCCATGGTGCGGTGGCACTGGTTACATTCTAAATTAAACCTCAATTGAGGCTTCGTCCTCCTCTGGTGCCACTGCTACCACTGGTGCCCCTGATGCTCCTGCTCCTCCTGGACCTCCGCTTCGCTGGGTCTGGCTCAGCAGCTGCCACTGCCAATTGTTTGAAATGGTCAACGGAATGCAACCCGTTTCGTTCGCTGTTGTTGCCTGTTGTGTCCGAATTACGGCCGTCCAAAAACGAAAAAGCGAATTTATCGAAAAATTGGTGCTTGGGACTTACTTGCACATATTTATTTGTATGGAACTTGCCGATTGCCGCCGACTGCCGTTCGAAAAAGTCCGCGAAATCAATCACTTTTTGCCCTGTTCACGGGGCATTGTGTATGTGCTAATCCCGCGGATTCACACTAGCCTCGCTCTCCCTGGTGAGGTGTCAGTTCGAGTACGCACTGTCAGAATCAATTACGTACTGATGAACTGACAACGGCCTTTTACGCGGATATCGGATTTGGCAAGGACACCTCGAGAAGGTAATTGGAGTTGCAAAGATTTGCCTTTTGGCATGCAGCTCCACAATATAGAACGATGTAAAGCGAAGCTTAAGCGTTGTTCTGAAACTTATTTACCGAGAAGCAAACGCTTTTGGCAAATTATGGAAAGTTCTAAAGGCTTTCAGAAATAATATAACATTTTAGTCCCACTAAGACTGTCCTTGCCCATTGCTGTCAGCGATAAATCCACAAAATTGGTAAGATGCTGTGCCGGTTTTTATTTTTATTTTTATTTATTTATTTTTTGTTTTTTGGTTTTTTGTTAAACCGACATTTGACCGCGCTCCGCTCGTTCCTGTTTAAAATTGTTGTGCTTATACTACCGGTATGCCTGTGAGTGTGAGTGTGCTCCTCCAACTAAGGGACCAACGATCAGACTGGAGCACCGGCTCTCGATTTCTCAGAATATCGCCCGAGATCAATCTTACACTCGTTTGATTGCATATTTTTATATGGTAGTTGGACACATCGTTCGTCCGCATCCTTTTTCGGTGTTGCCGTCGCCGTTGCCGTCGTCGACTCCCGGCACAAGCAGCCGGCGGCGTCGGCGTCTGTTTCTTTGCTACTTGCTTTGTTTTATAAAGGCACGTCCTTAAGTTTTCGTGGCCCTGATGGAAGACAAAAATTTCAGTCATTTAATTGCGGCCACAGAGCTTCCCCGACTCCCGACTCCCAAGTTTAAAACAATGTAGTATTAATATAGAGAGAGGACTAGTTTGTTTGCCAAAACTAACGATTCTGCTTATAAGTGATGCGCATTTCCAGATACCAATCTGTCAACTTTAAAATGCTTTCGTTCGTCCATGTACATGTACAATGTATGTACAAAAGTATATATGTACAAATGCTTCTTCAATGTGGCACATTTGGCAAGAACAGAGCCGTCAGACGAGTGGGATGATGTGAGCTGGTCCTGGTCCAGCAGGGCATATTGCGTAGACGCGTGGACATGCTGGCGCCAGTGCATTGCGCATGTCCAGGCTGTGACTTGGATTACTAGGATGGTATGGGGTTAGGTTTGGGTTTGGGTATGACGATGGCAGTGGCACCGGACACAGATGGCTGCAGCAGAAATGCGTAAATTTGGTGGCTGGAAAAGGCGTCGTATTGGTTAAACGGCGATGTCAGTTATGCCAAGCTCTATTGTCCGCATAAATTACTGAGAGGACAGTAGGGGGAGGTTGCATCATATCATAGCAATACTACCTGGACACCCTGCCTTCGAGTTAAAGTAAGCCTCCACTACCGGAAGGGGTAACGTAACCCAGCCAGCGTGGAGTGTGCATTTAAGCCTGGATGCGAGGGAGGCTGCCAGATGTTGCACTTGCATTATTAGCACTTGTGCTTCGTGCTCCGTGCTCCGTGCTCCGTTCTGCCGTTGAAATGTGGCCCTTGAGTGGGGCAATCGCAGGGCAGATTGGCATCGGTTGCCCGGTTGTCGGGTGTCACTGTTAAGCCCTGTTGTGGGGCAGGACATCGTTAGTTGAATAAGCGTCGTATTTCGTGTTTTGCAGCCGGAATAGCTTCTGTAAGGGAAATCAATAAGCTTGCAATTCACTGGGCATATTGCGTCAGTTTGCTCTATGGCGCATTTGTTCGCTGAGACTTTCCCAACAGCTGCGGCACCAAGCCACCAGCCACGTTGTTATTATCCAGTAATTGTTATTTTAATTTCTCCAACTCTCGATTTGAAATAAAATTATAAAGTTGGCAACGCTGTGGAACGATTTGTGTTCGCTTAAGTTGGTTCTACCACAATTCAAATTGCAGGAGGAGGACACTCGGACACTCGTCCATGAAAATCGCGTGTTTAAAATGAATTAAATCAAATTTGCAGATGCTCGGATGACCGTTGATTTCTTTCAAATTCTCTCACGCAAGCGAGTGCAAAATTTGAGGCAAAAAAGAGTGTATTCATAAACGCGGCCGAAAAGTGGATCTCAGTTCTGAAGGAACCATCGTCTGGCTGAATAAATTGGCGACCAAAGAACGCCCCCACGCATATTTGTATGGCGGGGTATTCCAACTTAATAGCTTAATAGATACTATTGGAGCGATATGATTACTTTGGTTTAAGGATCTCAATACATTCTTGCTCTAAATATATCGTTTGAATCCCTTCCCGTGATACAAATGTAAAATTTTACCTGGTACTTCTCAATTCTTGCTTCTGCATGGGCCACCGTTTATGTAATGAATATTAGATTGCAATTTAAATGAATGCCAATGGCGATTGGATCATTGGCGCCAGTAGTAGTGACATTTACGCACGCCAAAAGATTGACGCCGGCAACGAGCAGCCTGGAGGAAGGGGGCGGTCTGTGCGTCGGCGCACCGCCGTCGCCTATCTGTCAATTTAAATTCCTGTCTGCCACGTCAATTACGCACTGAAAACAACAACAAAACCGCTGCAGACTGGCGGCCGCACTTAAATTATAGCAAATTACGTGTTAATTGCCCACTGCAGTGCTCAGTTAGCCAGGGGGTTGTCTATGCAGCGAGCCAGAGTTTATTGGGCCATATTTTAGGGCCAAGAAACGCCAATTAAATGCATCTATTAGTGATAATGTAATAGGTGTACAAATATTCTCACATTCAATATGGGGATTGGAGTTCTAGACGGGGCAGCTGGCAAGAAAGTTTATTTTAAATATTTTACACGAAAATTGCTAGACAAACATTTGGCATGCGACGAAGAGTATCCGTAGCCGTCGCGCCGTGTCGCCTAATAGCTTTGCCTCTTTTTCTTTTATTTTCTTTGTGATTTCGCTTGGTCAACGATGCAATGGCACCGCCACAAGCCCCAGCTCCGCGCCTCCGTCCGTCTGGTTTTATTTTAAAATTGTCACTTCTGCCTTGCAATCTAGGCGCCAACCAATCGTGTGCGCACACAGGCACAGGCACAGCACACTCGCTGTCTCCTCATCCCCACTGCCGCCCTGCAAATAAGAATTTTGCATTTCTATCCGAGTGACGCCAGCTGTACGAATGTTCTCGGAAATCGACCTCTCAAGCTAAACCCATCTTCTTGGGTTAGAAATAGTTTTAGCTCAGCGAAGCTGGTGTGAGTAGATACATTGGAACGGAATCTTGAGTATATTTGGTACCATTTACTCTTATGCATCTTAATTTGCATTGTAAGAGCCCCGCAAAGTAGTACTACATAACATCTTCCATACTCTATGTGGTTTATTCAAATATCAGAACTAAGGCCCCCAGAAGTACACTCATATTTAGTGACCTATTCCTCAAACTCTTCAAAAATATCCAGTACATATGTATATAGATAGTAGTTGTCCCTAGACAACGATCTTAAAATAACCCAAAAGCCAGCAATTTAACATGTAAACAATAAGCCAGGCAGCCGGCTTCTATTTTTAGCCTTGCCTTTATAACGAGTAGTAAATTTTTGGTTAATTATCAAAGTAGTCCAGCCAGCATCGGCGGCACCCGTGCTAATTTTTACGCATCTTTAATGGAAAGATCACGCCTCGCGGCTGGCCAGCATGTGATGCCAAGACGATACGCAGTTCGAGTCACCCTCGCAATCGGACTGGCACTGGCTCCAAGGCGGGAGGCGGTAGGCGGCACACGCGCACTTGCTCCCCGAAATAGACGTTGCCCACACCTGTGACAGGTGCGACAATATTTGACGTCTGGTCCTATAAGTTAAAGCTGCAACTACCAGCGACCGGAGACGGGGTATTTTTAGACGGCATTAAAGCCAATATTTGCGCAACAATTTCTCAGTTGGGAGCAAACTAAAACAACATCTCGTCACGACATGTGATGCACCGACTTGCCATAGTTTATTTTATTCTCTTGTTTACACAAATGCTAATTTTTGCGTCGGCAGCAACAGCTACCGCTAGCTCAAATTAAGCCAAGCACACTTGGCATGGGTGGTAGCTCATGGCATTGTTAGGTGGCAACAGATGTTCGGAGCTGCGTTAGGGTACCAACCTGGCCGCTGAACGGTTACCAATGCCACAGGTAGGACACCGGCTTGAACGAGTTCTCGTTCGCTTTGGGCACTGGGCTGACTCGGCCTGCATAAAAAAGAGTTTTTAATGTGAGAATAAGTCTTATTAATATCAATGGACAGCGCCTCAGTCTGCTCCTTTCAGCGGTTTGCATGCCCTAACAGTGGGTATGAATGAATACAACAACCTCTCCGGACAAAACCATCGAAAAGTATACACAATGAGAAGGATTCATCTTGGCTGTGGAAGGGTATATAAATGAGCGTGAGCTTTCCAAGTAAACCTCTTTTTTTTTTATCTTTGCTGCCGAGGTCCAATCGTTTCGTTGACAGAATATAAATTAGGTCTGTCTTATTTAAGTGCATTGGCAAAATTTATTTCATTATTTTTGATGATTACTACCATTATAAAGCCTTACAAAATTGTCTGCAATTTTTTGTCGCTAAATTAAGGCACAAACAGTAAATGTATATACCGGTAAGGGTTATTTAGTGGTGGATCCCCACACTCCTAAAAATCTTTTTATATATTTTAGAAAACTCAACCTAAAAAAGTCTACTTTAAACTACAATAATACCCTGCAAGGGTATAAAAAAGGTTTTACAATTAAGTAAAAGAGTCAAAATTGCTAGGGTGACCCGCCTTTGGCTGCTTTTTAAGAAAAAAAATAAGAAATAAAAAGAATTCTTACTGCCGCCCTGGTTCAATGAACTACCTATTTTGCATATTGTGCAAAACACGATATTTTACTATGTCCAAAAGTGCATTTATAAACAAAACAACATAATTATTACGTAGACTTCGCTTGCCAATTAAGTAAATTGTTTAATTGTGTTCTTGGTAAAGGCTCATTGGTATGCAATGATATTAATGCAGGCTAGAGGAATTCATTGATAAATGAATGCGCTTTTGAAATGAACTGAGAACGAGAACTGTATCTGGTAATACTTCCCATCTGGCGTTTCTGCAATAGACTCTAATAATTGCGTCAGCTTTGGCTTTATGCTAAGTTCTATGCGATAATTTTAATTGAATTGAGCTGACCGGAAAATATTTATAATTAGTGGAAAAATCCTTATTTCATATAGGACTTTGGAAACTGTATTAACAAATTCCTAAGGAGATCAGAAAATAGATGTTGTTTCGCCGGAGATGAAAGTCATTGTCATCCGCAAACGATAATGTTGCCTGTAGATTCTCGGGAGTATATTGCACCTCAGTGCTTAGTATAATGAAATATAGTAGCTTCGGAGGTATATGTAGTCAAATCGCTGAATCATGTCCAATGATCAGCACAAAGCGATTTAATATTTAATATTTTTCGTTGCTCCCCCCACTACCATCCATATTTTATAAATACAAGTGCTTGGACTTGGCGCCTGATTCGATTTTAACGCCTTTTTAGAACAGCCTTAGTGTCGGGTAAACAACCGTTTTTCAGCCACATAAATATGCAGATGCAAGTGCCTTTGAATGGGCTTCGGAGAAACAAGTGCCAGCCCAAGCACCTGGTTTCAATTGAATAACGCCCGTGCTTTGAGTCATTATCATATACGCCGATCAGAAACTGCTCCAATTAACCTGTTTTCTACGGCCACGGGGCTAAGACTACACTGGGCTACTACTAAGCTGATGTAATTTGTGCTGGCTATTGCACTGGGTCAACTAGATGCAGGCGCCTCGATTGACATTTGCATAGCTAACTGTGCAGCAGCATCGTTCCTGACTGAATACGTCATGGGTGCGCCTGCACCTCGCTTAGCCGGTGGCGATATCGTTAAACTTTGTGCCTGCTAGATTAGCTGACAAATTTATTTCTGGGCCCGATAAGGGCACTGACTGTTGTGTGCCAAAACGCGTTTATGATAGCGGTTCTGCCGATGAGTTCGGGTGCACCCGAATCGATCGCCTGCCGCTTTGGGCGCGCACCTGTTGGAGTTTATATACCAAATAGCTTGTTGCCAGCGATAAGATTATTCAACGTATAGACATAAATTACCCCTTTTCGTGCCTGTTTGCAATCCCCAGTGCGCTCGTACCCGGGCTGACTAATGGGTCAGCCCCGTCCTCGTCCACGTCCACCTAAGATCCCCCAAAAAACAAAATATATACTTGTTTGACAGTCAGATTTGTATATTTCTCCACTTTTATGGCACTAACGCTTATGTATAATGCTAGATCTACATATTAACCTAAAACAATGAGATTACATTTGGGGACTATTTACAGGGGGGCTGAAATGTTTCAGGACCTTCTTATTTACAAATGCAAATGTTACAAATCATTCGATAACACTCCTCTCACTCACAATGGCAACTGTTGAACAAGTAACTAATCGATCAGAGTCAGTCGGAGCCACACTTTATTGCTTCTCCACGATCCAGTTCAAGTAGAGTTCTTAGTTGCTAGCTTAAAGTACAAATATATAGTGTTATGGCTGCTTCAAATTTGAATCCAGTTTTAATATATTTGGATTTTAAAAATATATGGTAAAAGTAGTGCGTGTGAAGCCTGGAAAATAGCCAAACGTTCACGTTATTGCCCGCTAGGATTATTGTCTTTTCAGCTTTCAGTGTTCAGTTTTGTATATCATTTGGTGTTGACTGTTTGTACTGCCTTAAGTGCCCGTACCTCGTATTGTTTCAGTAAAAAGCGACTTTAAATTAGGATCACATCGCTGGTATTAAGCTCTAACTCTAATCTATCAGTATATGGTACAATTACAGTGTATTTCGCGCATTATTCATTTCCCCTCGACTCGCATCCTGGTCTTGTAGGTTACAACTAAACAAAGCTTTGAAAACTTTTAAAGCTATTCGGCCACCCGTGACCACCACTATGCCTAGGACTCGGAGAGTGTGGGTAGGAATGCTGGATGCAGATGCAGCTCGAGCCCACCCGGTTATCAGGAACAGTAGCGGCAATCAGTCGCATTGAATGCCTACGATTACTCGTCTTTCTTCCGCTTCACCTTGCCCTCCGTCTGAATAGTGGCTGTCACCGCCTCCAAGCAGTCGGCAATCGATGGCTCGGACTGGTCGGCGCTGTAGTCCTCGCCAGCCATTCGGCTCAGCGTCAGTATGTAGGAGCAGGCCACTCGCAGCACGGACAGCTTCGAGAGTTTTTGGGAGCTGGCATAGGAGGGAACGGCTTGGCGCAGTGTTTCGTAGGCGGCGGAAATGGTGTGGACACGGGTCCGTTCCCGAGCATTCGCCTCTATGCGGCGCTCCCGCGTCATGTTCTTGTAGTTACGCTGATGGTGGTGCTGGCTCTGGTGGGGTCGCGACATAGACACATCAGACCTTAGTCCGGAGGGGACCTTGCAAGTGTCCTCATCGCTGAGACTCGCGTCCAGCAGTGAAGAAGATGTGGGCACCGCTTTTGCTGACTTTTTCTGTAGCGCTTTTTTCGGAGTTTGCGGTTTGGCACTCGGCAGCTTGGGGTAGGACTCCGCTTTCGCCTCTTTTTCGGCTTCCAAAAGGGTTTTCTTCGTTACCAGTGCAAGCGGTTCCAGCTGCTCAGGATAGGGCGAGGCAAACGGCCGATGCAGAGTGGTGACACCTGGGTGACGGGCGAATATGTGGGCCGGATTCGGCATCATTTCCTGATCCAATCTCAGCGAGGATGCCAGGCAGCCGCTGGGCGGCGGAGAGTCCACGGCCGGGGGTGTCAGCACCACCGCTGAGTCGGCCGAGGAGGTGTAGCGAATGCGTTTCTTGAGCGGACCCGTAGCATGCATACTCGCAGTGGAAAGGACGGAAGGCCCGGGCAGCGAACCCACTACCTTGGAGGGTTCCGAGCTCTTGCGCTTGTTGCGGATCAGGGCGATGGGCTTGGAGTTTGAATTGGAGCTAGGGTCTGACGCGTCTTCTGTTCCTTTTGGCGCGATGTCGGGACTGCCACTGCGCGAGTGCTCGACGGCCAAGTCGTCTCCGCCTTCGCTTTCCGAGCTGGCGGAACAGAAACCTGCGTCACGGTCATTGGAATTGGGTGAATCTAAAAATAAACCAAAATTAAAGAGTTAGTTGTCTTCTATCTATGACGTTTAAGAGTTGGAAACCGGTTGCCCAGTTTTGGCATTTGTTATTGGTATTGGTATTATTTAAAAAAAACCCCCGTTTTCGCGGAACAGATTTGCCATTCCGAATAGGGTTTGACGTTTCGACTGCCTCTTGTGCGACGACACCCCTGTGGCTGCTAAATTTTAATACGCACAAAGGCCCCGTGTTGGCTTTATATTATATAATAATAAAACCATTCAGTATAAATATCCTAGACGTAAAAGAGATACCCCTGGCTCTGCTCATTTTCCTATCATCCTGAGAACGCCAAGCTTGATTCGGGCAGTGCAGCCGAAAATGTAAATTCAAATTATGCATCGCTTCGCATCGGATCGCATCGCATCGAGAAAATGAAACCTGTTTCCAGCCGCGTCAGTTTACCACTGACCTCCACAGGTATTTCAAAAGTGTTTAAACGCAGCTTACTTGTTAAAAGTAATTTATTTCGCGTCTGGCGCGTAAGTCGCGTAAAGTCGGTTCAAGTTCAGGCAGCAGTCGCTGCATCGGAAGCCAACAACCCGGTTAGCGATTTACGTATTGAGGCGCAAACGAAATAAGCGAGCGTTTAACCGGATTGCAGGGGCAAGTGTGGTAAGTGTGGCAAGTGGGGAGTCAAAGTGCTCCCTCTTCGACAGCTCCAGGGAGGGGTTGCTGGCTAACTAACTAATTAAGACAGCAGCTGTCCGAGCGGTGAACCTACTCAGTTGTGAGCTTTTCCGCCTCGCAATCTGGAATAAACCGAAACATCTGTCCTACTGAGCGGTATATAGTCATTTGGTATCAGCTTACGCTAATAACGCTACCTACGATCCCGGCTTTGCACCTATACATTCATCAAATTTGAACGCCTTTTATCCAAGTCGCTAAAATAGTACACATTTTACGGAAAGTGTGTGCTGTTCGTCTGTTGACACAACTATTTATAAGCATAATATTCCGCTATCTCTTCTAATTTTAGACAGATAAACAACGGAGCCAAATTCAAAGCAACTGTCTGACTGGCATTGCAGCCGCGAAATCAGGCTGTTCAAATAACAGCAGTTAGCCCAGCTCCATTCCCTGTGTGCTGTGCTGTGTTGTGCTGAGCCGTTATTATATATTCAGCACTGTAATTTATATTTAGACAAATGTTTGCCTACGAGTCGCCATCGCCATCGTCACTGGCATCTTCCAAGCAAAACACCTGTGCAGGACTCATATACGGCCCATTAAGAGTGTTATCAAATTTCCAATTATATAATCTATTTAGCGATGCCTGAAAAGTCTATTAAAGATAAATCCGACATCAAATCAAGGGGAAAGCTAGTGACTTTGGGCTTAGTTCCCAGTATACATTTTGGCTTGTTCTTGTTAATACCCCTTGCAAGCTGTCTAGCTCATTTTAAATGGATGCATCTGATCCGTCTCCAGCTCTAGAGTCCAGACCAAAAGGTTTTTCGCCAAAATTGTCAATGGTTTGCGCGTTATTGGCCTTTTCTTCCAAGAATGAATGCCCTCCTGTGAAAATCAGCTAAAACCTACTTTAAAGCGGCAGACATTAACTGTCAGAGGCATCAGAAAATCCCATATTCACGCCAAAAGTCAGCGAAAGGTTATCATCATAGGCGGCTTTTGGCTGGCTGGCGGTCGGTCCACTGGGAAGCGTTCCGTGTGTGGGAAGCCGCGGCTTATCGCAACTTGTACTTGTACATATGTATCTGTATGTATGTATATGCAAGTATGTTAGGCGACTCGACTATATGGTGTATATTGTAGTAAAATGACGCATCACTTTTATGAATGAAACGCAACAACACACCAGATGATGCAGTTTGGTGGCATAATCGGTGGCCCAGCTACCATGGGTGCTCCGTGCCCCTTTTTTCTGGTCAAAGTCCTTGGGTCCTGGCCGGGATTATTGGTTCTTTAACAAATTAAATTGCATACACTTTTAAAGGAAAAGAGCAAAGAACTTTAAAAAATAATAATATTGCCATAGATGTCCACTATCTTAGACTAGTCGATCGTACAAGCAATGTTATCAGCACTTTGGGGGGACAGTTGGGGGACCAAGTAATCCTAGATGTAACCTTTAATCCAGATTTTAGCTTGGGAGGCCAGAGAGGAGAGAGCTCAAACTTCCCCCTTGGAAAAGCTGTCACAGTCAGCAGGCGGCGGTGAATGAGGATACACATTCTCGAGGCCAACTGCCATTCCAGCTCCGCAAACAGACAAATTGCCAATATGTCTGGCGACATCGCGGTCCCCAATTCAGTATAGCGCGCAAAGTGGCTGGCTGACATATGCGCCGCCCCCCTGCAAAACCCAGAGCTGAAGTACGCTGGCGACAAATAGTTGGCGTTGTTTACGTATCTGTCTGTATCTAGATTGCCACCCTCAAAGGACTGCCACTTTTATGATTATGCTGCTGCTCCTGCTGCTGGCGTGGAGCTGGGGGAGGGACTCGGTGTGGGTGCACCGCACATCCCCTCACATCCATTTGGAATATCTGTCGCCAGTTAGCTTGGCACAGCTGCTTTGGGTAATTACTGAGCCCGTCGACAGTCATTCTTCAGTTGCCAACGTTCAACGTTTCAGTTTCCAAAGTTTATTCCTAACTTCAGGAGTTGCTACAACAAATGCCACTGTAGTCCAAAAAGTTGATACGGAAATATGTCGTTTACTTTAGTGCTGCGCTGTGCATTTTGCAGAGTTTGCAGGCAACAGGTGGCATTGGTGTGCTGTCTTTGACATTTTCGGACGCTTAACTCACCTTTCATTATAATAGCCGCCAACTCGGCTGCGCTTAGTTGCATGTAGAGCTTTTCCGGCTGCGTGTTTGCCATAATAACAGTGGACAGAAGCCGAAACCTCTGAGGGGGAGCGCGTAATCCAAGAGTGGCTCAAGCCGGCTTTAATGGTACTTTGTATTCTTGTTTCCAAAAACTGATATCAAAATTGATATCTCACGTAAAATATAATTGCGGCTCCTATAACTTGCACTTTATTTTATTTAAAAGGTGAGCAGCTTTGGCACTTTCACAATTTTTTTTGTCAGTTTCAAAATTTTTTTGTCGATTTTTTGAATGTTTACGAGAACTTGTACGCAGTTCCGACCGCAGCACGACCGTATCTGACGAAAGTATCTGACGTTCTGAACGTGTATCAGTATCTGTATCTGAAAGTGCCAGCGGCCGGTCGGCCGGCAACACGCGGTCGAACCTGAGTCGTTCGCCGTCGAGCATGTTCGCTGGGTTTTATGAATGGATACGTTGAAATTGTCCTATGTAGAATTGGCACTAGCAAGTGCTAACTTAGCTGTTACCTTTACGAATGTGAAGGTCTCCTTAACCAATTCAATACTATATACTATATACTCCCTGAAACGTTACCCCTCAATCCCTAAGAATGCCTTAAGTACTACTGCTAGCCTTTCTTTTAGAGGATAAGTCATAAAGTGATGCGTCTCCGTTTCTGTTAAATCAATGCTTTATTGACATTTTTAAAGTGGGAATAGAATGGATTCAGAAAACCCCATAATCCATTATATTATATTATATTATTATATATTTTCTAATATTCCCATGTTAAAGAAATGCCATCATCATTGTCCATATTTATATTCCATCTATTGAGGGTCACTTAATTCCTATGATTTCGGCAGGTTTTTCAATGGCAGCGATGATAGGCAGCACCCAACCCAGTCGCAAACATGTTGGAAGCTCCACAAACCTATGTCACTAAACCCACAGCGACCGAGAATATCTGCCACAGATGCAAGGCGAAATGGTATTGCATTAACGAGGATTGACAAGTGGAGGTCCTTTTATTACGCATCTCTCTTAAAGCTTTGTTACGCTGGCTGGCATCTATGTATGGTGGTTTCTGTCAGTGCCAGGATTTGTTTCATTTCTCGACGCAGCAACGCGTTTGCGCATTTGGTGGCAAATGCGTCATAGTGACCCTGAGGCTGGGCCCACGTCCTGCTCCTGCGGTTGATGGCGACGCTACACATGTCTTATGATTGCAATGACGTCGACATTGGATCCAGATCAATCAATATTATGCATATTGACATTTATTTACATGCTTAAACAGTAATGATTGCAGTGCAAGACCCTATCCAGGCCGTGATATTCTTCATTGAATCCAACAATATATACACACATTGGTTGTCGTTGTCCCTTTATGCTCACTTATGGATGATGTGTGTATGCTTCTATGCGTATTCGGTTTAAACTTTAAAGTGGGGAATTCTAGGAAAAAAGTTTAAATTTCGCATGATCATTCCCTCGAATGCGGCACACAATACAACCCCTGCCGCTTAAAAACAAGAGGCAGAGCCACTAATATCGTTAGGGTTCATTTCGTCTGGTTGTCTGAGCTGAGTCTGAGTCCCAGTCGCAGTCCGAGTCCAATATACTCAGCAGATGTACGCTGGGCACGAGTTTGTGGCTGTCGCGCGAAATACTTTTTGAATGATGACTTTCGTTTTTCAGAGACTTGTTCTGCTTTTATAAGAATGCGATTGGGCTGCCGGCTAACCTGTTTTCGTGGACTGGACAGGCTCCACATTAAAGTCCACAGCCTTGTCCCGCAGTGGAGGCCCAAAACAGCCTCCGCTGCCGCCGCCGCTCAGGTCGCGATCGGGCTTTTTAGTCGTTTCCCTTTGTCAAGCTGGAAGTTCAAGGATAAGGAGCTGAGGCTGGACTTCCAAAAATGGTCCGTGTACGTGTCGGCGAAATTCGATCTCTCCCTTTTAAAACAAACCATTTTTTCCTTGAGGCCCGGCTAGAATTACCCTGAATTATTTCTGTAGGTTTCGTATAAAATTAGCTAAAGTTGCAGTTATTGATTTGGCTTCTGTTCGTAGCAGCGAGGTAACATCATCGCCTTGGCTTCGATATTTGTATGTATTCCTGCAGGGATTTAACGATATCAATATGCTTATTACCAAAGGGAACCGTGAGTCCTATAGATTATAATTGACTTGCGTTCAGGTGAATATGTCAATTAAGCAGCACACACAAAGCACACCGTTCTACCTGCACAGATCTCGGCCTGGCGCTACCCGCGACGGGTAGGTGTCTCGATCGCTAATTGCTTTCAGTCGGCTCAGACTAATTTCCGGCCTCGGCCAATAGTTTCGCTAGACACACGGACGATTGATAAATTTCTGGAATTACACACAACAACAGCCAGGACAGGTAGCGGGGAATGAAATGACTTCGTTCTCGTAGACCAAGTCTGCAAAAGGGAGAAGAGCTGTGAAGTACGTTCATTAGAAAATTCTTTATTTGCGAGGCTCCAGTCTAAATGTTCGTCCGTCTTATGAGAGAATAAAGCAAAAGTTTATATTAATTGATAGGTCCCTTAAAAGATGCATCAGCTTTTCCTGCTTTTCCTACTTTAATCTCCTTTCTGCCCCACTTACATATTATTTTAAAAACCCTTTCACCTTCCCAAAAACAATATTCTGCGCAACTTAAATCTCTGTTAAATCATCGACGAATGTCGTGTATTTGTGTACCATTGCCACGTGATGTACTCCTAAAAAAAAGGAGGAATTCCGTTTCAGCTGGTGCCGGGGTGGTTATGTGTACACATGCTCTTACCTTAGATGCCACAGGTGCTGCATAGCAAGATTACCTGGGCTGCCATCTGACTGCGATTTTTCTCCTGTGGACATAACGTTGCCGTAATATGCACATGTTTTTCCATGTGACGTCACGTTTGTTGCATTCACCAGAGCCTCCCCCAACTCTGGCACCGGCCTTGGCACGTGGTTTTTGGATTTGCATGCCTCCAGTTCCACCCAATTTTGTATACTAGCTCAGTGACGATTAAATAATAGTTTTCGTTAGAGCAAACACCTATAAATGACGCCCCGACTCATACCGGAGGCTCGGCTACCACAAGTGTCAATCGTCAGTAGCATCCCCATGTTTACACTACAGGCATTGCCGCGGAAGTAAGACAACTTAAGCGCTTGAGTTGAGTCCCACAACGGACAAGAGTCAGTTTCCGCCAATCTGTTTACCACATTTCCAAAATCTTATCCAAATCTCCGACGACGAGCATATACACTGCGAGGAGTGCGGGTGGTGAAAGGATTGTTTGCGGCAGCCGACTTTAAAAAATGTATTTACAGGAATGGAGTTCAGATCCAGATGGAACACATGGGAACCTTGCTGAGCGCCTTGGACCGTCTGCGCCAGCATCCATGTGTGTTTTCTCGGTCACGGACGTTTCCCAGAGGGGCCCCTACACTCCCCAGGAATGTTCAGTAATCTCAGTGTGTATTTTTTTAAGAAAAGCCACTGTACTGGTTGGTAGTAGAAAAATACTTCACCCCCTCAGAGTTTTGCTTAGCTACGCCCCTGCTTTCCTCGGCTTCGCCTTGTGACCTTTGGCGGCGTCAGCCTGATTTGCAATTTTTCATGGAAATTGCGCTGTCGACGGCTAGTGGCACATATGCTGACCAGAAGGACAGGAACAGCGGACGCATCCTTGAGTCCAGAATGTGTGAAATGTGTGAAATTTGCACCCAGTTGTGCTCAGACTGGCGACAACGTGTCTTTGCCTATTACCAAGCCTGCAAAGTCGCTTGCGTGGGAATTAATTTGGGAAAGTTTGTGGAAAAACCACATCTGTTAAATGGTCTGCGCCCAGCGGTAGACACCAGTGTAACATGCAGCATCTAGGGGTGCCAAAGCAGGAATCACAAGCGGTTCAATCAAGTAATTAACATTATCCGATGCTAATTTGGATCTAGAGCTTGAATGCCACTCCCTCTTGGGGAGCGTGACAGCCCCAAGCTAAGGTGAACAGCAAACACCGGCAATCAAATACCTGCGTGCAAGAAATCATGCCCATGGAACACAATTAGATGCTAAAAAGTACGCTATTAATGTCAAAAAGTTCGGGACTGCTGGCGAGACACAGCGCAGACAACCCCCACATTGCAATTTGGAAAGGGTTCTGGCACGCAAAAAGAACGACTGGGGTGGGGTATTTAATGGGTATGGAGAGCAGTATCGCATCAATTCCCACGCTTCTTGGTACGGGAAACACCCGCAAGCAACAGAATTCTGCAGCCTTCATCTGCGTCAGTGGCCTCTATTCGCCCCCAAAACACTCTTGCAGATGGGAAATTACACAGAAGCAATACGGCAGCAGCAGCAGCAAATTGGTAATTCGAAAGTCGAGACCGCTTTGGGCGAGAGCTGCCACTGGGCTGCAGCTCCAAAATGAGGTGCTGGAATGAGTTACTTAATAGAGAATGCCTTAGCATGTGGTCATGACGGTGGCATCCACCTCAAATCTTTCTATTTATACCCGCCTGTGCGTGCTCTAGCAGTGGGCCACCTCTGGTCTGATTTGGGAGTGGGGATTGGGGCCTGTGTCACTCACGCTGAGTTCCGCATTGGAGATGTCTTCGCACTAAAGCTGCCATAAGAGACCTTGTTGGATATTGGATCATAGAAAGCAAAGTGTAGCGTAATGCCACAGGCAGACGCGTTAGGGTTTTGCGGTACCTGTCGACGAGTCGTCGGCCCTAAGTGCACTTCCTGATATGGCTATCGCCCGTTACCCATTTAGACGCAGGCATTGTCAAATCCTTGTCATAAAACTGCATTGTTCACTTGTCCTTTGTTGGATAGGAATTTTCATTTTTGCAGTCAACACACAAAGAGCCAGACAGAAGACGATTTTGTTAATTTTTGGCTGGCGCCAGCTGCACAGCTGGTTGCCGTGGCCTCGGCGCTGCTGCTGCTGCTGCTGCTGCTGCTGCAGCGTGCGGTGCGATTGCCGTGTCATAAACGCAATGCAAATAAGTGAGTGACCGGCGGCACAGCACAGGTTTCTGGTCTGACCGACCAGATGCTTTGCAGTTCTCGCGCCTCAACGTTGACACGCATGAACGTAGCTGGAAACATTCCATGGGAGAACGGACTCCCGCGCTGCCATTCCCCCCGCACGACGCCACTGCCACTGCCACTGCGGCAGTGCCACATGCCATGCCGAACCGCAGCTCCAACGCGGGATGGTCACGGGCTATTGGCCACTCATTTGCCAATGTTGGCGCATTCGCCACTTCTACTTGTCGCCGTCCCAGCAACTGGTTTGAATTCTTCATTTGCGTGCCGAAGGCATCTGTTGCCCGGTTGTCTTGCCAGGTTCATGCCGAGCACGATATTCGCAAGTTGGTAATTCGCAAAACGCAGCCGGCCAGACTCCTCAAAGTTGCTGGGAAGATTGGGGATGGGAATGAGTATGGCAGATAGTGAACAAGGGATTTGCCCCGCATAAACCCAACACGAGATGTGCACCTTTTATTCACATATCCACATGGGTACATCGGTATGTATGCTCTGTCGTTATTGCCAGTGGTCTGCCGAACCGCACCGTGCACCGGCCGTGTTCTTTGAGGACACCTTGTCATGGAAAGGTGCAGACCAACTGCCACCGCTGATGATATGCTGGCGGGCATAGCCTGTTGATCGGCGCTGTCTTGCCTAAATTAATAACTGCAGCGTGCGGTCGGCCGGCCGGGCTTCTCAGGTGCTTTTGGAAAGTTCATTCAGCAGCAGGTAAAATGACCCTGGCGACGGGCCTGAATGGATGTCAATTTCTACGAAAATTAAATGGATAAATTATCGATGCAGCCGCCACTGAGGTAACCTAGATCGGAGGCCAAAGACCAAGTTTTGGTATTAACTTGTAGGTCTGATTCCACAACTCCCCATCCGAGTTATACAATGAATGGGGCTTATTGAATGCGCAGTACCTAGGCCACACACTTCGCACTGTCTGACTCTGCAGAATGGGAATCAGACACCTCGGAAGGTGCTAGACAGTTAATTAATGTGGCTTTATTCGTATATGCTTACTAAAAATAGTACAAAGCGTTGAATATAAATAGTTGCCTATCATTTAGTTAGCACATTTCTGCAAAGTTGTGTTTAAATTTAACTTGGCCTCAAATTAATTTCAAATTTTCGTACTTAAGTTTGCCTTATAAAGCTAGTAGCTTCCTTTGTGGCTTAAATATCAAATAGGGTGTCGAAGCAACCCCAACACCGGGCACAAGATTCGCGGATCTAACAAGCTGATAGCGGGCTGCACATGAAGAAAATTGGCGCCAGCCGTGAAAAATATGTAGACAATTAGAATAGCATTTTGGCTTCGCTCTGCGGACCGCCGATTCATTAAGTTGTTCGGTCTCGTACACATATGTATGTACAGCTGCACATATGCGGTGGTCTCTATGCAACATCTTGTCAGAATGTCACTAATTGGACTTTGCACCCAGCGGCCGATCTTTTTGGCAAACGTTCGGATGAGGATGGTGGCGCATTCAGTGGCATCTGTCGTTCAAGTGTCTTTGCTTTCTGGCACAAAAGTTCAAAACGAAAAGAGCGGAGGCGTCCCAGACTGCGTTGCCGGCGGACATTGTGATACAGCTGCAGGTGGATGTATCGAAGCCGCCAGTTACCATTGCTTTGGGACTTGGGAGTATCAACGGTGCTGAGGTGACATCTTTTGAAATAATTCAATCCGACAGGAGGGTGGTGGAAAAGTCACTAAAGTCATATTTAGGTGATCGTGCTAAATGCTGGAGACGTTAACGGCCCATAAGAGGCAACCCTGGGTTAAAAAGCACATAAACCAACTCGCAGCTGGCCATGTGGGTATTTATTAGGATGCATGGAAATGATGGGGCACAGTTCGTCATAATTTGTCGTCGAAACAGACATGCTCCGAAATGGAAATCGGTACGCAGTCATGATGCATCCCAAGAGAAGACACATAGAAAAATAAATATGCACTTGCTTATTTCCATGAGAAACACAAGAAATACATTGAAAACGCCTATAAGTATTTATTTTTCAGTCTGTACATTTCCTTAATGCTTGCCAAAATTGTATTTTCTCCGAGTGTAGGCCATAATTTGTTTAAAAATGGATTAAAGCAGAAGCAGAATGTGCAGTATATGTGCTTAAGAACTCATTAAGATTGTCGCCACCACCAAATTTATTCGCAATGAAGCAATTTGATGTGACGGAATTTAATTTGCGGTGAACCTTACTCTTAATGGAATATTTTTAATGCATATTCAAGAGATCTAGGTGCAGGCCTGTCCACTTTATTAAATACTATCAGGAACTACTTACTCATCGCTAGTTCGACCGACACCCACATAAAATCACAACCGTCCCCCACAGACAAACGCAACCAGTAGAACCCCCGCCTCCCCTGCATTCCGGTCGTAAAAACATGGCGCAGTCCCAGGCAGGCCGGAATGTGTGCGGCGTGTTCTAAATCTAAAAAAGAATCCCGCCAAAGCCACTGCAGCTGTTGCTTGTGGGTGAAAGTGAAAACTTGCGGCACATGTCTTTTGGCCGGAAGCGCATGAAAATTGAAATGAAACGCCATGTGGCTTCCTTTTTGATGACTGTTTTATTCTTAAATTACTATTATATCCATCACAAAATTTGCAAACTAGAGGAGCAAACTATACACTGATACTGATCCGATCTTATATATAAAATTCACCATTTAAAATAACATTTGATTAGTTGTTTCGAACAAAAACCAGGATCCAATTATGAGTGAAGCAATCAAGTTCTATGATAAGCCTTTGGCGCAGGTGTTACGATTAATATTCTCGATTGGAAGCCCTATAATTTGATGGGGTGACGACCCGTAGCGTGCAGCCATTGTGCCCTTTGGGATGGTATAAATAGAGCTGCAAGTGCCGCCACTGCCAGTACTTGGAACCCCGACCAGAAGTGCTTGAAGTCGCTATGCCGAAAGCTTGGCTAGTTGCAGTTCTATTAACCGTCCCATGGGTCGTCGCCGCTGCAGGAGCCTCCTTCGAGACTGAGGTGCCAGAGAAATGTGTTAGCCGGCGACTCATCAACCGGTATCAGTTAAACGAGGAGATATATGGACAGGGAGAGTGCGGAAACAGCCATCGGACGAAATTTCGAAGTAGACGCCGTGTCGATCCTACCTTCCACGGGAATCCCAAGCCGCGGGCAGAGCTTTTGGCTGGCAAATTTCACGTAAATTCTTACAACTTCGATCAGACGAACTCTCTGGTGGGTTTGGTTAACAAAATAGCCGAGGAGTACCTCAAGAAATGCCCACCAGTCATATATTACGATAGTTCTGTGGAAAAATCAGATGGCCTGATTCTGGAAAACTTGTTCAAGGTAACTTGGTCATACATATTTAAATATCCCTAGAGGATTTGTTTCCTTAAAAAAACCGCACATATCTTGGTTCGCAGACTCTCCCCATTACCTTCTACCATGGCGAGATTAATGCTCGCTATGAGGCGAAAAACCCCCATTTTACAAGCCCCATCGATAGCAATTGCAAGAGTTATATCTTGTTCCTTTCGGACCCACTGATGACGCGAAAAATTCTGGGTGCCCAAACAGAAAGTCGGGTCGTTCTTGTCTCCAGGTCAACGCAGTGGAAACTGCGTGACTTTTTGTCCTCGGAACTGTCCTCGAACATTGTCAATTTGCTGGTCATAGGAGAATCCCTTATGGCCGACCCATTGCGAGTGAGTAGGAGTGCTTTGATTAAGGAAATATTTAAACTTTACTTCTGCCACAGGAGCGTCCTTACGTGCTGTACACCCACAAGCTGTACGCAGATGGCCTCGGTTCCAATACTCCCGTGGTGCTCACCAGCTGGATAAAGGGAGCTTTGTCCCGGCCACACATTAATCTCTTTCCGCCAAAGTTCCAAATGGGCTTTGCCGGCCACCGCTTCCAAGTGTCGGCCGCCAATCAGCCGCCCTTCATCTTCGGCATCCGTACTTTGGACTCCTCGGGCATGGGTCAATTGCGCTGGGACGGCGTGGAGTATCGGCTGCTGAGCATGATCGCCAAGCGCCTGAACTTCTCGGTGGACATCACCGAGACGCCCACGCAGGCCTTTACACGGGGGGTCGTTGACAACATCCAGCAGCAGATTGTGCAGCGGTCAGTGGACATAGGGATGTCCGGAATTTATATAACAGAGGAGAGGCTGCGGGACTCGGACATGTCCGTGGGCCACTCCCGTGACTGCGCCGCCTTCATAACGCTGGCGTCGAAAGCGCTGCCCAAGTACAGGGCCATCATGGGTCCGTTCCAGTGGCCCGTCTGGGTGGCTCTCATTTGCGTGTACCTTGGCGGCATCTTTCCGATCGTCTTCACCGACCGCCTGACCCTCAGCCACCTGCTGGGCAACTGGGGCGAGGTGGAGAACATGTTCTGGTATGTGTTTGGCATGTTCACCAACGCCTTCACCTTCAGCGGCAAATACTCGTGGAGCAACACGCAGAAGAACTCCACGCGTCTCTTGATCGGCGCCTACTGGCTCTTCACGATCATTATAACGTCCTGTTACACCGGATCCATCATAGCCTTTGTAACCTTGCCGGCGTTTCCGGATACCGTTGACTCTGTGCTTGACCTACTGGGCCTGTTCTTTCGCGTGGGCACCTTGGGTGAGCAAACAAGAGAAGGGAAATGTCAACTTGATTCACATACTAACTCACAGATAATGGGGGCTGGGAGACGTGGTTCCAGAACTCCACACACATTCCAACCTCCAGGCTGTACAAGAAGATGGAGTTTGTCGGGACCCTCGAGGAAGGCATTGGCAACGTCACGCAGAGCTTCTTCTGGAACTACGCCTTCCTTGGCTCCAAGGCTCAACTGGAGTACCTGGTGCAGTCGAACTTCTCGGATGAGTAAGCAGAATCAGGGACCATGCTGTCAGGGGATTTATTTTTTTTGTATGCACGTCTAGGAACATATCACGGCGATCGGCACTGCATCTGAGCGAGGAGTGCTTTGCTCTCTTCCAAATAGGCCTGCTTTTTCCACGGGAGGCCGTCTACAAGCGCAAGATTGACTCGATGATCCTTCTGGCGCAGCAGAGCGGGCTCATAACCAAAATAAACAACGAGGTTAGCTGGGCAATGCAGCGCTCGGCATCTGGCCGCCTGCTCCAAGCCAGTTCGTCGTCAGCGCTACGGGAGATCATACAGGAGGAGCGCCAGCTGACCACGGCAGACACGGAGGGCATGTTCCTGCTCATGGCGCTCGGCTACTTCCTGGGGGCCACGGCTCTCGTGTCCGAGATTGTGGGCGGGATAACGAACAAGTGCAGGCAGATACTCAAGCGCTCCCGCAAGTCGGCCTCCAGCTCCTGGTCCTCCCGCCACAGTTCGGCAGACTTGGGCGGAGAGCCGCGCACCCAGGCCGAGCAGCAGGCGCACGACGAACGGAAGGCGGCGCGACGGGACGCCGCTGAGGATGGCCAGAAGATGAGTTTTGGCATGCGCGAGTTCAACCTCACCAGGACAACGCTGCGCGAGCTTTACGGCAGCTACAACAGACCCGATCCGTCATCTACTCCTGCGGCGGTCCCCGAGCATGCCCAGCCACATGCCAATGTCGCCAGTTACAGCTACTTCGAGGACGAGGAGTCGACCCGGGAGGCCCTAGAGTCCCTGGGCCGTTTAGACGATATTATTTCTCAGATGGAGGCGGAAAGCCCCGAAAATGAGTCTTTTGCGCACGACTTTTCGCCAGACGAAGTGTTTGGACCACACACTGAACCGGGGGACAGTTCTGAAACACAATAGTTAGGTTGCACGAAAATTCTTAGTATTGAAAGCTTTAAACAATTCAAATTGTCAAGGAAAAGGAAGAACATATTCCACATTTTATTTTACCAAAAATTTAAGATAGTTAACTAACTTTTGTAGAATGTTTGGTTTAATTTGGCAGCTCCTGGGCGAATCTCCTAATGTGAAACTGAACTAATTACTCTCCTATTTGATTTACACTTCATTTAAATTTGCAAATTAAAATTCTCATCCGTGGACATATGGTTTTCAGTAAAACAAAGAAGGTTTTATATTCCACTTTTGTATATTTTTTAATCGAAAACCTTATTTTTAAAATTTTTGTTAACCTTTTGTTCCAAAATTTAAAAAGTTTTGTACGTTTTTCTGGATGCTTTTTAAATTTTAGTATATATTTCTTAAATGCTTCACCTATTCCTCTTTATTTCGGGAAAATCGGCAATGAACTGCTATTTATTTTAATTTTTAAAAATCAATTTTAATTTTCTTTAAATTCTAAAATTTTTTATTTATTTTTATAGGGGGTATTTATAATTAATATTTATTTCATTCATATTTAACACGAGTATACGTAAAAGTAAAATGTAAAAACACGTTTTACACGTAAGAACAAATTTACAAGTCTAGCAACGCACCAATGCTGCCCATGATTTCGTCCATGAGCTAAACATATAGCAAAGTTTCACACCTTTTCGTTTAAAATCGATAACGGCTACTTGGAAGTTGGTTTTTTTTATCGGCTGTATGTCTTACGGAGGAAAAGGGCTTGAGACAATTATAAAATTGTATCTTTGAATCATTCTAACCATTTAAAGTCACCAAATTCAGAGCTAAATATCTATATATATATTCCTGTTACGTGTATTCCCTTACGTAATACGTTCGTGTTTTTTGAGTGTTACCAGCTGCCGTGGCGGAGAAAATCCGTACTTCCATCGAATTTTCAACTTTTTGAACGGACTGACCGGCGGGCACACGACATCGAGCTTTTGCAAAATCTTTTATTGATAAACAAATACAATAATCTGCGTTAAAAGCCGGCGGATGAGTCGGAGCCTGGGGATATCGAAGCCCCACTGCCGGATTGAATGGCTACCGAGGAGCGGGACGACGGGGCGCTCTCCATTCTTCGGCTGCAGCCCCACCAGGAAATCGAAGTCGAGCAGGAGGACCAGCTGCCCGATGAGATCCTGCGATGTCGTGCCCAGGAACTAAGCTACAGTGACTTTTTCTGGCTCTTCATGCACAAGAACTTGCCCGTAATCATCACAGATGTCTCCAACAACTGGGAGTGCCAACAGTGGACGACGACGAACACGTTGGATGTGAACTGCAATACCGGACAGCCCTCGCTCCACCGCTCCATTAACTTTGACTACCTCAAAACCAAAATTGGGAATACCCCCGTTCCCGTAGCCGACTGCAACTCCGCGTACTTCAACAGCCACACGAAGCTGGAGCTCAATTTCCACGACTACCTCGACAGATGGAGGAGCAGAATCGAAAGCGAAACCCCAGAAGTAAACAGTAATGCGGATACAGCAAGCCGGGACAATCTCTACCTCAAGGACTGGCATCTGGCGGCCCAGATGCCTGGCTATAGCTTCTACCAGGTGCCTAAATATTTTGCCTCCGACTGGCTCAACGAACAACTGATTGATCAGGGCAGGGACGACTACAGATTCGTCTACATGGGGCCCAAGAATTCATGGTAACTGGTTATCCCTTCTCCTTATAACTTTATAATAGAGTAATTCCCCAATTTTAGGACCTCCTACCACTCGGACGTCTTCGGTTCCTTCAGCTGGTCAACCAACATTGTGGGTCTCAAGAAATGGTTGATAATGCCCCCAGGCGAGGAACTCAAACTGAACGATCGATTGGGAAACCCCCCATTCAGCATCGATGAGGAGATGCTGGACAAGCACAAGGTCCGATATTACACCATCAATCAGGGGGCCAATGAAGCTGTCTTTGTGCCCAGCGGCTGGTTCCACCAAGTGTGGAATCTGACCGACACCATATCCGTGAATCACAACTGGTTCAATGCCTGCAACATTGCCATGGTGTGGCAAAACCTCAAAAGCAACCTTGCAGCCGTGTGGAAGGAGATCTCGGATTGCCAGCAAATGGACAACTTTGAGGCGCACAGCCAGACCATGCTGAGGGCCAGCTTTGGCATCAACTACCTCGATTTTATAGAGCTCCTGGAGTTCATTGCCGCTCGCCGTTTGGCTGAGGAAAGCGCAGCCACCAAGCTTTTACTATTCAACCGATATACAATGAACGATTTCCACGTGCAGTACGATCTCGAGTGCTTGAGGAAGATAATAAAGACAATGACGGAGGATCAGACTATCCGGAATAGTTCTCTTCCACTACACAGTCGCTGCCAGCAGTTACTCAGCCAACTGGAGTTTTAAAAGTCACTCGTAGAGGCCTTGGCATAATATTTTTATACCAAAAAGTACTTGTGTATTCATATACAGACAATAGGTGTAATATTTTATTAAAAATATTTATGAAGACTGTACTAATTGCATACAAGGCTACTTGGGTGGGTTTTGTTTTGGTTTTTGCCAGAGCTTGCAAAAAACTGTCGACCGTTTCTAATTGTCTGCATATATCTGTCTCTCTCTCACTCTTTACGAAAAGACTCAGAGAGCACCCGTTCATGAGTTCTTGGAATCAGCTCGCGCGCGTTCAGAGCGAACTCGTTTTTTTCTATTCTGCTTTGTTTCGGTTGTCCCATGAACCGTGGTCAGTGAACAAAAGTCTTTTGCGTATGTATTGGTATACATTCACACGCATAGGCAAGCAAATCGTTAAACGTTTAGTTGCGATTTAAAAACAAAATTGTCTAAAACTTTTCTATTCTTTTTAATAGCATTTTGTTATATGGACACTTGTTCACAAAAATAAATAAATAAAAAAAAAAACAAACAAAGGTGAAGACCGTTCGCGCTGAGCTGTTCGGTCCCTTGGTCTCTTGCTGGCTCTCTGTGTGCGAACGCTTCTCGTCCCGCTCTTTACGCACGGCTCATTGAAAGGCCGAAGCAAAAAGAGCTCAACGAAAAGCGTTCAACAAAAAACCGAAATGAAGACAGCAAAACTCCCTTGCTCTGAACGAGAGCGAGAGAGTATGATCTTTTTCGGTTTTGCTCGCACCGAGAGCACAGGAAAAACCCCGTCGACAGTTATTTGCAAGCTCTGGTTTTTGCAGTTTTCCAGATAGGATACTTTCTATATAAAACGGAAGGAACGAGATCGTACCACTATATATACTAGTTACCTTTCGCACAACATCCTACATTCATAAAAACAAACCATTTGACTTTTTCTTTAATTGTTTTTATATTTACCGCAATTTTCTTTGCCATTTGAGCTTTTTATTTGCTAAACACTTTACCATTTTTCAAGTTTTTAACTACAATTTGGTTTTCCATATGCGTGTCTGTGAGTGTTTGCTGTCTTAGTTGAGGAAATAAACCAGAGATCAAATAAATACTGGGATATTAATGGGGGGGAGAATTAAGTTTCAGTGTATATGTTGTGGTTTAATGACTATAACTAGGCATATTTCGTATATGTATGTATAAACATTACAGATATATTTATTTTGGCGGCCTTCCAGGCCAGACTAAGAACTAGGTGTGATTACCAACAAGTCTGCTTATTCGGATCCAGTACAATAATACGCTTGAATTGTTTGCTAGAAAACTATATAAATGAGAGCATAGGTGTAAAAATGCTATATACACATACAAAAATCGTACAAAAAACGTAACAATAGATTTTAATATATATATATATAAATCTTTATATAGAGTTACATGTTGTTCGGCTTGGGCTTCGGCTTAGAAAAATGTACAATTATTGAATTTGTCTTGGGGCTTGGCTATAATTGTTTATCGTTTATGTATAATTGGTTTACTTAGGCTAGAGACGCATTTGGCTAGATTTTTCTTTAGAAGGTACAGAGACAGAGCGATGTGGTTGTATATGGGGAATATGTTGGAAAATCGTGACTTTTATATATGTTACTACATTTATGGCTAAGGGTTATATTTACAGATTTTTGTGCGGCAGGCAGTGCCACGCCCACACCTAGCTTACTGTCTAATTTAGTTTTTATTACGCTATTCATTTCTTCAGTTTATCGTCGCCTTTAAACTGCTTCGAAATGTAAACTAAAAATTCATTTAAATATTAACCTTCATCGATTGGATCTCCTATGATTATTTTATCCGTTTTTTGTATTTGATTTTAATTTTAAGTGTATGCTTCCCCACTCGCAAATGTTTGCATTGTCTTTTAATGCAAAAAACAAAGTACTTTTTATTAAATTCAATACAATACTTTTTGTTTTCTTTATTTATTACACACTTGATATGTAGTTTTCGTGTAAATTAGTGGAATATAATTGAAATAAAGGGAGTATGAAATAAAATCTTGTTGGTCCAGTTTGGAGTAGAGTTTTAAAAAAAAATCCGGCTTACTATTTTCAGGGTATAAAAAAATTCATCGAGTTTTTGTTGGAATTTGTGGGCTTGGTGTGCTGTTTATAGTTAAGTTTATTAATTTGTTTCTTGTTTTTTTCTGGCAGTCTGTAGATTGTCACTAAAATGAAAAGAAATTCGTCTTCGATTACCAAGGGGGAAAAGGGGAGAATATTACTTTGTATGCCAAAGGATCGGGCATATATATCTTACAATTACACATATTTAAAGCTTATACAAATCTTAGCCTATTGGAAATTAGTTTCTATAAATTTGCTACGGGATTCATTCGATTTCTGGCCTCTCTGGTACAACCTCAGCGTGCTTATGTCCGGTGCTGCTCAATTAGCTGGATGTGCAGTTGTAGGGATCATCGGTGCGGAAATTCGGGTGATCTTCGAAGGGCTTAACCCCCGAGGCCTTCTTGTCATCCCTCAGCTTTTCCACCTGCTGCATCACCCGGAGAAAATTGCCACCTGCCAGCTTTGTTAGTTCATCAATTGTCCAGCCGCCGCCAAGGAGTTCGGCAAAGAGGGTCGGATACGACGAGACGTCCTCCAGTCCTTTGGGAGTGCTGAAAGCAAGATAAAGAGATACGTCTGTATTATTCCGTTCGCTTTCCATGAAATACACAATAATTTAGTCTTGAGAAAATTAAAAAATTAACGACAACATTATTTTTAAATCGTATAAAATAAAATAAAAATAACCATAATATTTATTGTTATTATATATATAAGCTTAAAAAACATGTAAACAGAGCGGATCGTGCTCCGGAGAGTGAAGAGGAATGGCGGAATACTGGTAGAGGACGAAAAGCTAGAGGCTGCGAGAGAGTGAGAGCCAGTTTCAACTCTCTCTCACTCTCTCGCAGCCTCCAGCTTTTCGTCCTCTACCAGTATTCCGCCATTCCTCTTCACTTCATTTTTCGGTAAAAAACTTTTTGGCAGAAAAAACGCGTGCTTCTACGAAAACGGGCTTAAAACGGGGAAAAACGGTCGGAAAAAAGCGGAAAAACATCGTCGCGACGTGAAAAATTGAAATCGGAACGAAAGTCGGTAAAATTTATGCCCGGAAAGCATAGCGTTCGGTTTTATTTCAGTTTTAAGTTTTAGCCCGAGTGCAAGCGCGAGTGCGAGTGAGACAGAGTGATGTGAGCAAGTCGCGTTTGTTTTCGCCTTGCTTTCATGCTCTTCTCCTTGCTTTGATCGGTAAAACGGTAAATCGAAGAAAACGAGTGAGAAAAAAATATGTTAAACTGGCAAAAATCGGCCGAAAAGGGCCCGTTTGTTTTTGCTTAGAGAAGGAATAAATACGTTTGGACGCAACAAATAATTGGTGAGTACAGTTTACAGTGCTCACATATAGTATTTTGTGTTTTTTTTACTGTACTTTTCTCTCGTTATGTTTTTTCTTCTGCATATTTTCTTTTGCTCTGCAGTCCAACTAACCTTTCATTTTTTTCTTGTGAGTTTTTTGTGTTTGATATTTGCCCTTGAAATTTAAATGATCTCCTTGCTTTGATCGGTAAAAGCAAAGCGGGGAAAAGAGTAAAAAAAAAATGGTAAAACGGGCAAAAAACGGCCGAAAAGGTCCCGTTTGTTTTTGCTTAGAGAAGGAATATCTACACGTTTACAAATAATTTCTGGGTAGATTTGTACAGCTTTATTTTACTTCCTTTTTCATTTTGCTTTGCTTCTTCATTCCTTCTGCATCTTTTCTTTTGTCTGCTGTCATCTAACTTTCCATTTTTTTCTTGTTCGGTTTTGTGTTTGTAAGCAAACGAACCGAGGACCGCTCTCTTACGGTAAAGAGAGCCTGAAATAGGATCCACATTTGTGGATTGCAAATTTCAAGCGCTTTGGCTTGATTACTTGACTGTACATTTATTTGTACAGAGAAATTAACACAAAATCGAATTAAAAAACCCTTATTAATTTATTTATAAATTCCGATAAAATTTTCCGAGCGTTTCTATATTCCAACTTATACCTATAGTAGTAAGAATAGTCAATAGACTACCTGAACTAACTAAAAACTCAGCAAGGGTATAAAATAAAATTAAATCAACAGAATGCTAAAGGCGGGGCCATTGGCAAGGCAAAACACAAGAACTCGTGTGTGCAGGACATCAATCTGGACCAAAAAAACAAATAAATAATGAATAGTACACACAAAGGAAAATAAATAATAAATAAACATTTTGCTAGCCAAACGCTCTCAAGTGCTCGGTAATCATATTTTATGAACAGACATTTCATACAAATAAATAATCATTTAGCTCTACATATTTGCAGGCGTTTAGGCCAAACACGATTTAAATGGCACAAACAGAAACCGCCTACGGATGTGTGTGTATAAACAGGGTCCTTAATATAAAAATTAATACTGATTAAATAAATAAAGAATAAATAATTCAAATATATTTAATGTATTACACAAAATATAACTATTTTATTGGATAGCCCTATATGTCTCTAATAATTTTAAAAGATATCCCACTTTTTCGACACCCTTTATAGAATACAAATCAAGTTTTATCCAAAAGAACACCCTAACAACCAACGAGGAGCAAAACAATTTATGTCCTTTTTCCTCTTGGATTGGCTTTTGCAAGTTCAAATTTCTCAATTTATTGAATGCTTTATGCCTTCTGTGTTTTGTGCCTAAATGAATAGCAAACTCATTTGCGGCTTTTTAAGGGGCATAAGCTTAAAATTGAATTTACAATATATAATTGTATATATGTAAATTTGTATATAATGGCGACCCATAAGCAAGTGAACCTTTAAAGTGCGAATTTATTCAATTGGTTATTCCCCCTATGGAAATTGGGAACCAAACCCATTTGACATTTACTAATTTCATAGAATTTTAGATTATTTATTGTGTCATGTTCGGGTTTGTTTCGTATTCCTGGCCCATAAATATTCATGTGTGTGTACGCAATTTCAGTTTTCTTGTTTTTATTACCGCTGTCAGGCCTCCCCAAAAGCAGTTTGTTGTTGTCAATTTTTGTGGTCGCCGCCAAAAACAAATTGTGAAGTTCATTTCAGTGGAAATTGATTTACATGGACAATTTTTTGTTATTCTTTTTATGCAATATGCACTGCCGTGTACTCGAAAATATTTAATTTAAAAACAGTGCGAGAGGCATAAGGGGGACATCCACAGGAGGTTCTATCCAAAATTTTTGCTGCACATTTTGTTTGTTTTCGCGTTTGGTTTTCCCTTCCTCCGTCGACGCAATGAAATGGAAATCTATGCAAATGCATTTTCCACCAGCATCACGGGAATAATTACAAGCGATAATGAAGACGAATGACGCGGATGGTCATGACGATGATAATGATGCTGGCACGATGTAAGAGGACCTCAAACTAGGACATTCGGCCAATGGGCCACTCGTTGAGGTAATGTACATTTTTTGGGTCCCACTAATGGGCCACAGGTACTTTAAATATTTTACATTTACATTAAGTTTCAAATGTACATGACAAAATCGGCAATTAAAATGGAATGGAAAAATCTAGTCATTAAAAACCTTTAGAGTTAAGTTATTTTATATTTGTCAAAGTACCATATATTAAATAAAGGAATATATCTAAAAAAAAACCCTCTTCTTTTTAAATTATCGTAGTTTGAATGGAAAAATCTAGTCATTAAAAACCTTTAGAGTTTAAGTTATTTTATATTCGTCAAAGTACCATATATTAAATAAAGAAATATATCTACAAAAAAAAAAAAAACCCTCTTCTTATTAAATTATCGTAGTTTGCATCTGGTAAAAACTTTAAGTTCGATTGTAATTCTATATCCTTGCTTTCGTCATTTTTGAAATTTTATTATGGCGGCATTTTACGACTCCCATAAGTTTTCCCACCCAATGGGTGGGATAATCTTTTATTGCTTTTGCCTGATGAGAGCTCATTAAATTATCTTAAAAATCTCGTAAACAGATTGCACAAGTTGTTTGGGGGGCAAAACGGGCGCTCGGAAAAAGTAAAATGAACAAAAGTGGCCGTAATGAGCGGTAAAATAATAACGGTCTATCCACATCCATCGCCGTACCGCTGGCAATATGCCAATGTTAAGACCTCGGACTTAAATATAATCAATTAATAACTGGAAAACTGAAGAGGAAAAGAATGGCAAGCACCTGCAGGACTCCGTGCGGATATATAATACAGTGCGAGGCATGGGGGGGCCGAGGAAATGTGAGTTTAAGTGAAATAAATGACTTTTACTTACTAATTAATGCCATCGTAGCCGGCGCCCAGTCCAACGTGATCGATGCCGGCGACTCGCTTAATGTGATTAATATGCGCTGTATCCCGGAGTGAATGAGTGTTTTTTTTTATATATTTTTGGGTGTAAAGAATATCGGGTGGCAGCAGGACCGCGGTTTGGCAGGGTTTCCAAGTTCATTAAGGGCCATTGTTGGTGGTTCGCCGAGCCATTGTTGTCGTATTTGCCATCATAAGTCAGCCGTTATTAAAATTTTGTGCCAATTTGAGATGTGTCCCCGGCAGCCAAAATAGGTGACAAAGGCATGAAAGGAGAGGTAAAGAGAAGAGATTAGAGGTTTATCTTACACTTACACAAACTAAAAGCAAGTTTATTTAATTTTACATTTTTTTAGAACCTTAAAATACATATTTTTTATTATTAATAACTTCTACATAGGTTATTACCAGAGATTTTAAATAAGTTTAGATTTGAATCTGTTGATTAATGCTTAAAAAACTGAGACACGTGGCGTATACTTAATTTTTTATTTCAATTCAATATATTTTGTATAAATTTTAAATGTTTGATTTAGTGTGAAATTGTATTTTTCTCCGTGGAACTAGAAAAGAAGTGGGCGAAATCGTAGGTGCCTCGAAAAGAAGAGAACGAAATACAGGAAGTGATTACGAGACCCATTTTGATGGCGCGTCAAAAGCGATGCCAGAAAAATCAGAATAGGATCCGGGCACATTGGTCCAAAGGAGGACAAAAGGGAGTCCACGGGAGGAAGAGCAGACAATGAACTAACTGAAACAATAGCCTGACAATCAAGGAGAGGGCCACAACAAAAAGCAACCGCGACCCAGTCACTGGCTTTGATTGATTTCGGATGGAAGAAGATACACATAGTGTAAGCCCCTTCCACAAAGGCATTCAATCTGCCTGGCATTTCTTCGCCAATGGATTTTTTTAAATTTATACTTGGCCTTTGTTACTTCTTTTTTATACAAATTTTATTAAACAAGAACTCTGGGAATTTAAAATATTTCAATTATCTATGTCTTAGGCTTCTTAACGTTCGATTTTTCTTTGTGAAAAATTAAAATTTATAAAAATGTAAAACATGATAATTGGCAAACTTTTCCAACTACTTACCGACTGCATCGTGCACGGTGGAGTTGTCGCTGCAGGAAAGAAACTTCGAATAGAAGTTGACCATGACCAGGCCGCCGTTCTTGGCCAGGGCCTGCAGGATGTCGTCCTGGACATTGCGGCTCGTGTTGCAGAGCTCGTAGGCCGAGGAGTGCGAGAATATCACAGGGGCCTCGCTCACCTCAAGGGCGTCCCGCATCGTTCCCTTGGAGACGTGCGACAGGTCGACCATCATCCCCAGTCGATTCATTTCGCGGATGATTGTCTGCAAGGAGAGGGGATTAATCGGGAGGTGTGCATTAGTTACTTAGTTGCTGATTAGTGTGTCGCTCCCTTTACCACATATATGTGAGTGCTTATGCTATGGCTTTAGGAAATGAAATGCCGAGGGATATAAAAACCTAAGTCGCATGTCATAAAACATAAGTAATGACCACTAGGACGATGAAGCCAAAGGACATCTGACTGCGAGCGGTTTTCATTATGCATGGGATTTTATTTAACCTTTGACTGCGCCGCTTGGCCTCTCCTTAACCCTCTGAGGCCGCGCCCGACAAGTAAATTGATATTGCCGCTGCCTGTCTGTGGGTAATTTGTATTTATGCGCGGATTTATGGGGATTCATTGGGGCGAATCTATGCGTGGGTTTGCTGAGGGTCTTACATAATTACTAATCTGATGCAAGTCGCTCCTCTACCTCCCCCGCAGCCCCACAAAACAGTCCCACAAATTATGTGGACAAAATTTATTACACTGTTAGATGCTAAATCAGGAAGCCACGATTAAATATTTCAATGGTGGAGTAATCGCTACATGCCACGTTTTTGTAACTCCCTTATCCGGGACACGAACTTAAATCTTGGTTTATTCGAGTACAGTGCCAGCCAAAACTATCAGATTCTAGTTGTGAAAACCTGAAGAAATTAAGAAAAGCAATTGATATTTCCTGATTTTAAAGGGAAGAGCCTTGTAAATTAAATACTTTTCCTTCCTTTCGCAGATTTTGTGATGCGAAATGTATGGGGATAAAAAAAAGAGCTAATAAATGTTCCCCCCCATTGTAAATCCCTTTCCATTCCCCACTTTTCCTTAATTTCCTGCCAAATTTACAGTGTATTTTATGCCCGATGCCGTCTCGCAGATAATTTTTAATTGCAGGCACACACATACATACATGTATTTACATATATGTTAAATATATATACTATGTATATGGGCATACATCCCACATATAAATATATATACAATATATAACAACCATACAGTCCTTGTCAATTGAAGCCGGTTGCCATTTTGTTGCCTCTCAAATTAGCAAGCAATTTGTTGTGTGTGTGTGTGCCTGTGTGTTTGGGTGTTGTGTACTTAATGGGCGTGGCATTAAGGGCGTACACAAACACAGACAGATACGCCGTTGAACTAATTGCAAACTTGCGAGGGTGGTGGCTCTGCTGGGTAAAATGTGTATTAAATGCTTATTGTCGCTTAATTACGTATACAAAATGGCAAATAGAAAAGGGATAAAGGGGCGGCGGAAGGCGTTTCTGATCGACATTAAATCTTTATTAACGGTGCATTGGCACAAATTGGTTTCCATGCACTTGTCGCGAGTGTGTGCAGTAAATTAAAATTACCAAATTATTTGGTGATTAATTACTTAGCCCAGGGAAGCGGCAGCAAATAATTTGCCAGGCAAAATATTTACTCACACACACACACACACACGTATTTATTGATATTTATTGGTGCTTATTTTGCATTTATGGAATATATGCATAATTATAATCAATTCAATTCGAAAGCGTTTCAGGTTCAGGTTCCCGAATTTAATTGCCATTTTAATTGGAGTCTTCCGGGCGGGGAAACTTGGTTTTCTCGGTTTGTTTGTCGCACTAAATGAAAGCCGAAAGCATTCCCTACACACAATTCCATTTTTGGCAAAAGTGAAGAGCTCAAATTTTAATATTTTTGTGTGCAAATATCTCAGCTTAGCCCGGGGACTGGGCGAAGAGAAGTCCTGTATTTAAATGGACATTCGAACAAAGCCGCTGGCAGACATTTCAACAATGACAACGAGAGGCCATTTTCTTTCAGTCAAAAGTGACAGGGAAAATTGCATGAAAAAATTTCATGAACTTTTCACATTTGCTCATTAATGTCAGCAGCGGGGGAGAGGGAGAGGGGCTTCCGGCATAGTTATTTAACATTCTCCGACAGGCATTGTCAAGTGTCTGATGAATTGGCTGTGAAAATCCTTTATTTCCCTCTCTTTGGTCTTAATTGTTATTAATTTTCTATCTTCCTGCTCGACCTCATCCATTAAATCGAAATTGTACGCGTTGAACCACGATTTCTGAAAATATTTATAGTGCAATTTGAGATTCGGGGAAACCCATAAAAATTTCATGCACGTGGCACATAGACTTTGTCCAAAACAGTGCAGTGGCAATTAGTTTAAGCCAAACAACAGAAGCCGCATTTAAATTGAATTCGGAAATTAATTTAAAATTTGTTCTCAGAGAGAAAGAGAGAGGGGGAGAGAAAGCTCAGGAAAAATGGCAAGGGAAACTCTGCTCGGAATAATCGCTGTAAAGTGTAAATAAATAAACTCCACACGGAATATAAAATCCCAGCAAGTTTGTAGCTATAGCCTTTTTTCACATGAGAGGGCACACAGTGCAGAAACTCATTAAAACTTTTAAATTGAAATAAAATAAAATGCATATTCGCATAACTCATGTGAAGTTATATGGCGTCCATTTCCGTATAAAGATTGGGAAAATGTATAAAAGATGGGTTCAATTTTAACTGAACTTGAGATTAAAATGGAAATTGAAATTAAAATATTTCAACTAATTGTATTTTAAAGAATTTAAGAGAAACCATCTCAGAGTAGAGTTTCCTTTCCATTTAAATTTGTATTACTTTCAGAGATTGCGCTTGTTTGTATTTTCCCTTTCATAATGCAGATAATGGCACTTGTCCTGACCCAGTTATCAATTATCAATTATCGCTTATGCATGGCAAACAGAAGAATATTTCCAATTTGTAATTCCATTAGCCCGGGACCCATAACATTTGATTTATATGTATGTAAAGTCTGCATGTGCGTTTGTGTCCCTTTGCAGAATGCGTAAATGTGTGTGCAAATGCATTTAGGGGCTAACCGAGGCGAGGGAAGGATAAACCGCCGTCGTCTTGGCCCCTGCCTGCTCTCTGGCTCTTGGTTGTTTAAATATTTGAAAATCCATTAAGCATATTGACAATGCCGATGTGTCTGTCTGTATTTGGTATTTGGGATGGGCAGGATGGCAGGAGAGTCTGCATCCCAGGCTCGTATTTAAATATGGCCGCCTTAGGGCTTTTCTCCTTTCGCGTTCCGCGATTCCGTTTCCCTTTTCCAATTTTTCCTCCTCTGATTTGGCTCCTGCTGAATGGATCATTAGTGCAGCTAATGGCGCAGACAATAAATGGCGCGACCACGCCTACAATTTGAATTTGAATATGAATTGAAAAGGGCACGGGAGTCTACACTGAGCCATAAAATGGTAACAAAGTCTATAATTGCTTTTAAAATTCAAGAGAAAGTATCCACATATCGAAATTGGTTTTACAATGTGCTGAATAAAATCCTTAAAATAAAAAATGTATTATTATTCACTCAAAACTTGAAAGTATTTTAAATACTTTAAAGGTCTAACCCCTATTTTTCTCAGTGCCTAGCTTGGGCTTTGGGGAAATCGAGAACGGGAAACGGAGGCTGTGTCTGAGGGGCTTTACCACAAACAGACGCCGCTGCACAGTGGTTGGGCTTGTATGGAGACGCGGCCAAAAATAGTTCTAGTTGATGTATCGTTACGAAATTAATACCAAAAATCAAGAAAAATGTTTTAAGTATATGTCCAAAAATTTGACCATGTAGCACGTCTATATCATATAGTTGCCATTGGAACAATCTGTTAAAAATCAACATTTAGTATGAAAAACTTTTTTGTTTTTCAAAATATCTTAACCAATTTCACAGATAATATGTTTGGAACAGGTTTATGCATTCTTACCAAATTTGGTTAAAATCGGATGTCTATATCTTATAGCTCCCATACAAATTTTTTATAAAATTATTTTTTTCCAAGAGCTAAAATTAATTTTTTTTTCTTAAAGAGAATGTTGGTGAAATATAAGTGTCCAAAAGTAAAAAAAATTATTAACTTATATATTGTGTATTTTATTTGTTTAGTAACAAATGCACACAGCTTAAGGGGGGTAAGGCTAATTCGGTACAAAACTGCCCACTGTTCAAAAAAATGTTTTGGCGAAACGGCTAGCAAGTTTGCTTAATGAATTAAATACCATAAATTAACAAAACATTTGAGCCATTTTTTTTTTAATTTTTGTATTAAAAAATATTTACAGGCCTACGCTATATTGCTAATCTCCTGAGTCCCCACAAATAAAAGTTGGTTTTCGGTGTACATCCTAACTGTCCACAAAAACGTCCGATATCAAAAAAAATGTATTGCATTCCTTAAAGAATTAGTGCCCCAAGGTACTTAAGAGACGTTTTTATTTTTAAAAATTTTTCCCGATTTTTCATCAAAATTGGAAGTCAAAACCCCGATTTTCGACTAAAAAATTAAGTTAAATTAAAAAATATATATATTAACATTAAAAATTTAAAAAAGCTTTACTTGAGTACCTGTACAATTAAATTTCAAAGTTATGTTCAAAATTTCAAACCGATTGGTTAAGTAGTTTTTGAGTTATAGAGTACACCGATTTTCAAAATGGCATTTTTCAGGAGAACGCTTTAAACTTTGTGATTTTCATACATCGAACACCAAACGACTTCCGTTCAACTACCCATAACTTCGTCAATGTTGTAATAATCGATGTAAAACTTTTACACAATATTTTAAGGATATTAAACCTTTATTTAAAAAAAAAAAAAAAAAAAATACCAAAAAAATTTAAAAAATTACCCTAACCTGTGTTAGTATTTTTAAGATTATAGGCACATAGGCAAATTTCGGCAAAATTTTTTTTACGATTTGTCATCTTAAAAGCGCGACAAACACATTGGCATACATATGAACTGTAGATTATTGTGGGGTCACAACTATAACTTTAGCTAAACATAAAAAATACGTTTAAAATATAGGCCAGAAACATGATTATTTCACATGAGTATAATGAAAACAATAATTATTTTTAATATATTAAATTATATCTCATTTTATAGAAAATACCTTGAACTTCAAAATCCATTAC